TGAGTTAGCAATGTATTTTACAGTGTATGAACCAACCTCGCGTCTTTAATAAATATCGCTTTATTGTACCATGATTGGAGAGCGCCACTTTTCTGGCTACAATCAAACAATGACATGCTGCAAGTAGTAGTACGGTTTTGGCTGTAGGTTGAACACTCCCCTCTTAGTCTCCCTCAACTTCTCAAGGAGGCTGAAGCTCAACTGATCTATCAACAGCCAAGCCAACTTATACTCATTCTCTAACACTAGGACGGAAGCAAAATAGGAGTAAGAACCGTGGCGTGTTAGTGAAGAAGTCACAACACGCCATGGCGAGATGAAGATGTTTGTAGTTTGTGTTTCTCATGCTTGTATGAAGTGCTTGATATTCACTACGCCGAGAAAGGATATGCAACCTTACTAAGTGTACTTGCACTTGGCAACAATCGCCGAAGAAACGAAAAAAGGTCCCAACAGGAGGAGGGTGTAAGTAGCGTTGTGCCGAGCGAGACTCAAGTCCGGTTGATTGAGTGTGATGAAGCATAGGTAGGTAGCGGCCTCACAAATAGGGTGGAGGTCGACGGCATGGACGGAGACTACTGAGAGAAAGCCGAGAGAAAGAACCACTCGGCGGGGTGGAGGCAGGATCACAACACAAGACACAGGGGAAGGCACCTAGGCAAAGTTACAGTAGGTATCACCCAGGAGAACGTGAACCCGCTGGATTGAGCCCGTTGACTGGGCAGGCACAGAGTAGAGTCAAAGTGTCCGTCCATTGGGTGTGGTTATTTTAGGAGTGATCAGAGTAAGAGGTAAGGTAAGAGGTACCGTAATCAAAGGCAGAGGGGCTTGCGAATATCTCCTAAAGCAACAAGTATACTGTGCGAATTACTAAGGTCGTGCTGCGGTACAAGACCTTTGTACTGTACCTCGGCGCGGCGAGCTGCGTATGGCTTGTACCCGTACAGTACCAGACAATGACCGCCTGCTTACACGTTGGTGAGTGGCCAGAGGCAGGTGTTTCTGGGGAGCTTAGATGAGGGGGCGAGGACGGAGTCCTGGTCATTTCACCCCAGTAGCAGGCCCAGAGGCAGAAAATGGCCCAAGGCAGGTGCGGTACAGGTACAGACTACAGTCTGCTGCGACAGTACTAGTGCAGCGCGCGGGCGGGCAAGCTCCCAAGCACCGCAGAGAGCAATGGGCACCGCACCCATTTTTTTTTCCCTTTCTTCCCAAGGAAGGGGGGCACCAAGAGCTCACCCAGGCCAGCCCACTGCATAAAAGTCCAAGTGTGGTAGCTAGGCAGGTCGCGTTCCCTCCCCACGCACAATCACTCCCCCATAGTAAAAAGGCTGCCTTGGCCCTCCCCATACATTCTCTCTCCCTCTCTTTTCTCCCATACAATTCTCCCACCCAAAATCGCCTCTGCACTCAATACGCTTCTGTACGTCTTCGTGGTGAGTACTGTCCTATCCTCTCTATCATTCACCACAACATCATCATGTAATCAAAAATTTATGTCTTTTACTTTCTGGCGTTGCGCCTGTCTTGCGGCAATTTTTTGATTAGACTTCGTTATCGATTCTTCTCGAGACGTTGCTCCAAACTGGGCTGCATCGCGTCTATTGCGCATCATCGTCACCTTGAAACTTTGTCGCGCGACAGCTTTACAAGATAGCTAACGGAAGCGCATTATAGACTACCTCAACACCACAAATTACTTTTCCCCAAGTTCACCTCCCAGGTACGCGCAAACCCTCTAGAAGCCTTTTTTCCTTCAACGACGCGAATTTCGACGCGTTGGGAGGCGCAATTGCGTTTGCGCCTCGCCACCTTGTCCATCACCATCTCATACCAAGCTCAGCTCCAAGCTTCATGGAGCTACCCCTCATTATCACTGACCTCGCGCTCAACACGGCGGGGTCTCCATCACCTCCTTTCTCATTGTTTCTGTTGCACGCAACATCCATAAAGTCACCAACTTACACCCGTTCACAGAAAATCAATCAAAATGCCCAAGGCTGCTGCTGGTAAGCGCGGTAAGGCCGAGAAGACCAAGCGCGGCAAGAAGGGTGAGTCTTCACATATCCATGGGCTTTTCAATGCCCACATGCCTTGCTATGCGCTGCATGCCCTATCACGTTCAGCCCTGAACATAGCTAATCGACTTTAGACCCCAACGCCCCCAAGCGTGGCCTCTCCGCCTACATGTTCTTCGCCAACGAGCAGCGTGAGAACGTCCGTGAGGAGAACCCTGGTATCTCTTTCGGTCAAGTCGGCAAGCTCCTCGGTGAGCGATGGAAGGCTCTTAACGAGAAGCAACGCGCTCCTTATGAGGCCAAGGCTGCCGCCGACAAGAAGCGATACGAGGATGAGAAGCAGGCCTACAACGTAAGTGGATTCTAGAACCGCACTATAGCAGCAGCACACTAACGATGTCTGAAGGCCGACCAGGAGGAGGAAGAGTCTTCCTAGAAGGGAGTTTATGAAGTCAAACCCAAGCGTCGCTCGGCGAAGAAATCTGAATCGGACTAGTCTCAGCACTTCAGCGCCGCGTAGCAGGTTATTCTGCTCGAGTGGACCTTCTTCTTTGTATTTCGGTCTCGGCGGTGTTGTATGATGGCACAGGAAGAGTGCCTTGTTTTTTTATTAAGGATTCCAAGGGTTTAAGGTGATTCCACATGTTATTATGATCTAGATTGCGGCCCATCTGGCTGCGAGCTCACAATGAGAACCTGATCACGAACTCTGGAGGAGTCTATGGGATGAGGAAACGAGATGCCTGTACAAGTAAGGGAGCTTCGGCATAAATAATTGAAATTATAAAACATCACAATATCTGCCACAATCGTGTTCCATGTGCGAAAGATTCGGGATTAACCCTATAATATACCTCAGACGATTACGGCACCAATGCGTTGGAGAGATGAAGCTTAGGATGGCGTCAAGAATTGGAGCTGTTTGAGGCTGTTCAAGATTAGGCTTTTTCCATTATGGTTGATGTTTAACCCAATGCAAACCGGTGGAAAGTATGTATCGGGAGATATTGAGGCGGAACTTTGATGTAAAGTATTACACTTTACAGCCGCAATACTCTAATGATTGGAGTTTAACAAAAATACCATCAAATGTTAATGGGCCATTCATGATTTATAGTGTGTGAGCAGTCTTATCGTGGATCAGTGTTGAAAGTGGCTTGTGTTGTGTGGCTTAGTAGGTAAGGTGGTATGTAGTGAGGCCACATTCAAGAAGCGCGCTGACTGCAGGTGACAGGTTGATACCCAACCTACAGTACCTAAGTATACCTGTCTGCCATGGAACTCTCGAATTGGACCGAGAGAGGACTCGTCCAACCATCCAGAAAGCCTCACCTTCCTTCCACCCACCAACTCTGTTCGTACTCAGCATCATCCATCAGAGGAACCACGTTGCCGAGAATGACCACGCGCATCGTGCAGCTAGCTCAGTCAGGCCATGTACAGTAAGTTGTGATGTTTACAGAAAGTAGGTCCTCAACCACAATGGCGAGAGGAACGGATATACCTCATGGGGGCTTTTGTTCCTCTACCGCTGTATTTACAATGAGTTCGCGAGTCGCAGAATGAAAGCGTGCAACATCGTGCAAACCATCGCGAGAATGTTTTCTTATCCTGAACCCGCCGAGCCTCATCGCCGGGATCCCCCCACGGCCGTTGAAGTGGAGTACCTGGCAATGTTGGATGAGCACGAGGTCATGCTAGGCCAGACCAAGTCGAAAAGGGACCTGTAACCCCAGCACAACCACCGTTTCAAGCGCTTCGAAGACACTTCCTCATTTTCTCTATCCCCAGCATCATCAGATTTCTCCACACAAGAGTCCACATCCCGCGGACGCACGTCAAGAGTCGGCGTCGTAGCAACACGTCGCTCCTGGACTGTCAGTGGATAATTCGGTTCAGTTGACCTCAGTTACTCTGGCTCTCCTCCTCTAGGAATGGTCATCTTGACTCGACTGGTCAATGGTGCGAGTGCCCACCCAATCCTAATCTAGCTCAATTGTTGCCCCGAATCTCCTCATGCATTGGCCTGGCGTCATGTTGAAGCACGCTTGCTATCGTGGCAGCGCCTGAGAAGTTGGCTCAGGCCGGAGCGCGAGTGTCGAGCTGCCATACACACACCCAATGCCTGGCTCGTCAACACATTGGTTTCTTCTCGTTGGTGTATCTGTCTCGATGAAACCCAAGCTGATTGATATGCCGCTGCAAAATTCGGAGAATGCGGGCGGCATCTGACCATCAGGTGGTCAAAAGCCCCGGATGCTGTGGCCTTAACTGAGTCCAGAGCAGAACTACAACCTCAAGAGCCTCCCCGTCATTACGTGCATCGACCTGATGGGCTCACTCAAGGCTCAGTGCGAGAACCGTGCACCAACCACGTCAGGGAAGGCATTATGTATGGTTAGACTGGTGCGGGTGCACCTCTTCATGGTGTTGAACGAGTTGCGCGGATCGGATCACACGTTATTGACGGCCTGCAGATCGGCCGTCCCCTCCTCTTCTATTATTAACCAGATACCCTCTCTCAATTCTTGAATCTATTCTTGATTTCTCGTTTAATTCACTCTCCCATAATTGACCCCGACGTCGGTTGTCTACATCCTCTATCAAGTTATCAAGCCATTCTGAAGGATCTCGATTGATACCCCGCCACTATTCATATTCTCCCAGTCTCTCACCGCATGCAGTAGCCTCGAGCGTCTAATTCTATCATCACAGCGATTATCAAGGGTGTCACGCGGATAGAGACAACTTGAAAAGGATATCAAATCAACAGTGGCCCACCTCGTTATGTGATGAAATAGACATCCTCTTCTGATACGCCTTTTGCCTCTCGTAATGGAGATGGTTTTAGGTGGCCAACTTGAGCTGCACCTGCTCCAAGGTTGTTGCTTGGAGGCAGAAAGGGCAGACCGTGTTGCAATTCAACTCTTGGGCCTTCGCAATGCCTTGGGCGAGGGCACCCATACTCATTTGTTATTGACTATGGAGGAGGTCAGCATCTCGGGTCAACTACTCCGTGAACTGGCCGAGTACTCCAAAGTTCATTTCTCTCGGGTTCCGGTCGTGCTCGACTATCTCGAAATTCTTCTCCCTTGCCTATCAAGATCCCTACGAGATATCACGACCTATTACGAAGACAGAACTCTCACCAAGGAGAATCGTTGGCGGAAGATGTACCACTCGATGACCCAAGAAGCTGGGGGCCTTTCACTACCACAGCGCTTTATTCTTTACAATCGTTTTCTGTCCCTGCTACGGGAATTGCTATTGAGGTTAGTTGCCAATACTCATTGGACACCCGTAAGAGCCGATAACTCACCGTTGCGAAGATCGCCAAATTTTGACTTCAATACTATGGAATGCACTCGATTGCAGTTGATGCAACTCAGGGAAGCCAGAGGCATTCGTAAGTAGGAGCCTGGCCATACAAAGCCAAGACTAACATAAAAAGCCCCTCCCCCTATTCGCCTTGATTCAACAATTCGTCCCGATTCTATGCTAGATGATGATTCGGGCATCGCGAATGTTAGTACATGTTGCCAAAGGATAAAGTGTAATCACTTCTGACTATGGTCATAGAGTATCCATTGGGCTGAGAAAATCTTCTCTTTACCCCTTCCCTCCCGGACTCCGCTTAAACATCAGCAGTCGTAAGTCCAGCGTGAAAACGATCAATCACTTTGCTTCCTAACAAGATAATTAGGTCCAAAGCATATGGCCCACACGCTCCCTGGAGCCAGGTTCGCATGCCAAGTGATGCAAGAATCCTTTTCATTCGGTAGGTCCAGGATATCAATAATACACGAGCGGTGTACTTACGATGCAAGTTCTTTCAATGAGCGCCAGATAACCCTGATAGTATATCAGAGTGGTCGAGACAGATGCCCATATTTCCTCTTGCGAACGTTCCACATGGGAACTCCATGGTTTTCGCTTCGTGGCGCACACGAACTATGTGTCGAACGCAATGGGAGCAGTCTTCAGTTCTGGCGATGGAGTTCTAGTGAACACTGCCCCAAGATGTGGGCCAATCTTTGCTTCATGACGTGGGAAGGTAAGTTGCTACTTGTAAGTACTAATGGCACATTTGGTTGCTAATGTGTTCTAGAATTGGTGCTCGTGTACTGCTGCTTTTTGTCTTTCAAGACGCGCAACAGTCTTACAGTACAGGTTGCAAATGAAGACCTCGCTCTTTGGGGTGAACGAAAACTGTTCCAAGCGTAAGCATTGCCCCTGATTATCCTCCACGCAGCCATACTCATGTTAATAGTCGAATCGTGGACGACGGTTTCATGCATTCTCTTATTGTATATGAGGACTATGTGACAAAGGGTGTTCGCCTCCACGCTGCAGTCTGGGACGGTGACCTACGCCAATGTCCTGTCTGGACAGCTTTCAGTAAGCCAGCTGCAAGTCCCGAGTTGTCCCATTGGCAGTGGACTAACTATTGTCCTCCAGTCACACATCAGTCAGCCTCCCCTAAATGGATAAAGAGAGTCAGCAAGACCAGAGTCCGACTTGCTGACATTCAACTCTACGTCTTTTGCCAGGAATACCGGCAGCAAAACCAACGAATCAACCGTGCAGGAGCTTTCGAGATCCGATTTATGAGTGAAGAAGGTTCGTTGTCCTTCCTCGTGATAAAACACCATCTAACAATACATATTCAGCGGCCAAGCGTTTCAAAGAGCTCTTCTCTCCTGCGCTCATCGACGACAGCACCGCCACAGAGTCGACACAGACTTAAGCCACCAACAGTGTTTCCGCCGTACGGCACAAACTCGACACTTATAATTTCCCCTGTGAATAGTTGTTCTCCCCCCTTGTTCCATTGCATGTAGCCTTTCACTTTGATTCATGTTTTTTCTAGCGACGGCGTCCCCCGAGAGAGATAACGGTAGGAAGATTTACGAGTAACGATTTCCCTATTTTTAATAATATAGTTCAAGTCGAGGGTCACAGATTGTACGATACATCACAGCCATTTGAGAGTTCGCAGGCTCTACTCACGTTTCCATACAACGATATCAAGAATGTTTTCATGTCGTGGCATTAATTCATGCTACTATACCCCTATTCCTCAGCACACATCCACAGTTTTCCGATTGTTTAGTTACTAGTTTCAAGAACGCTCAGTTTGTCAGCATTGTACGCGATAACAATTTCAGAAACTCAAAATTATCTTATGTTTGCATCCACCTCTTGTGTTCCCCAATTTCAACACCCATCATGGCGCATCTTGTTTAGGTCTTTACGTCAGGCTCGTCACGGCCGACGTGCTCCTTGAACTTGAGGAGCTCTGTGGCAAACTTGACCTCTTCCTTGAGGAAGTCTTGAGCGTCCAGTTCGTACTTGGAGGGATCGTCGGTGTGCTGCTCAATGTACAAGCGAATGGTGGCTCCAGATGAACCAGTGCCGGAGAGTCGAACAACAATTCGGCTACCGGAAGAGAAGCCGGCATATAGACCCTGCTTGGAAGCGACAGAGCCGTCGAGATCGGTATAAGAGAAGTTGCCAGCCTTTGTAACCTTGCGACCTGGAATAAGTTAGCATATATGGCCAGCCGAGATTGCGAAATCACTCACCCTCAATGGTGCTGCCCACAAAGTTGGAGTCGTTGACAAGCTTCTCTAGCTCACCAACAACCTTGTTGGCGCCCTCTGAATCGACATCCTCGTAGTCGTAGCGGGTGAAGAAAGTACGACCGTACTTGCCCCAGAATTCCTTCTGGATCTCCTTGATTGATGGGGTGACGCTGGGGTTTTGGACACCAACACCGGCGATGATGTTGAGCCAAGCGATAACAGCCCATAGACCATCCTTCTCACGGATGTGATCACTACCAGTACCGAAGCTCTCCTCACCGCAGATGGACAGCTTCTTGGCGTCAAAGAGAGCGCAGAAGAACTTCCAGCCTGTGGGCACCTCGTAGCAGTCGAGACCCTGAGCCTTGGCAACGAGATCAACGGCACCACTGGTAGGCATGGAACGAGCGAGACCATTGACGCCGTTCTTCTTGAAATAGGGAATCAGGTTGGCGTGGTGGGCGATGATAGCCAGGGAATCACCAGGAGAAACGAAGGCATTGGCGCCATAAATCATGTTTCGGTCACCATCACCATCGGAAGCGGCACCAAAGGGAATGTTGTTCTTGTCGACAACCTCGACCAGGGAGTGGGCGTATGTGAGGTTAGGATCGGGGTGGCCACCGTTGAAGTCGGGGCTGGGGACACAGTTCTGGATGGCGTTGCTCAAACCAAGCTCCTCTTCGAAGATAGCCTTTCCGTAAGGACCGGTAACGCCGTGGAGACCATCGAATAGGACCTTGAAGTCGGGGTGGGTAGAAAAGAACTTCTTAATCAGGTCAAAGTCGAAGATGTCCTTGAGCATAGCAACGTAGTCGGTGGTGCTGTCGATAATCTCGACCTCAAGGTCACCATATGTCTGAGTGCCAACGGTGGAGATGTCGACATCGGGAATATCGGCAATCTTGTATGAAGTCAAAGTCTTCGAGAACTCAAAGATCTTGTTGGTAACGGATTCGGGAGCGGGGCCACCATTAGCGAGGTTGTACTTGATACCAAAGTCGTTCTTGGGACCTGTTGGTTGTTAGATGTCGATTTGGGAGAGTAGAATGAGCAGTGAACTCACCACCAGGGTTGTGGCTAGCAGTCAGAAGGATACCTCCGGTAGCCTTGCGCAGACGGATGACATGACTGGCAGCAGGGGTGGAAAGAATGCCGTTCTGGCCGATGACGAGCTTCTTGACACCGTAGGCGGCACCAATCTTGGCAATAAGCTGGATAACCTCGGGGTTCCAGTATCGGCCGTCGCCACCGATAACAAGAAAAGAGCCTATCAATTGATCAGATCATGGCTCGTGCTGCAGAGCAATTGGCTTCATACCCTCAACTCCTTCGGGAATAGAAAGCAGGATGCTGGTGATGAAGGCCTCACTGTAGTGAGGCTGCTGAAAGACGGTGACCTTTTTGCGAAGGCCGGAGCTATCGACATGAGTCAGTGGAGGTTCTACCAAATGATAACACTGAGGCTCTGAGGTTGGAGTAAAAGAGAAATAAGCAATTCCTCTTCGGCAGCTCCCGAGCAGTGGGGGAACACAACAGGGAGGATCGTCAAGTTCTGGACATACGTTCCGGGCTTCTGGTCCTGGAAGGGCTTAAACTCAACGGTTTGGACGCCCATGACTGCTTGATATCACTGGTGTATCAACGAACCAAGCTGTAGGGGAAAGAAGATAGGTAAGAAGCTATGATTTCGAGGAGAATTGTTGAGGAGGATACAAAGAGGAGAAGGAAGACAGGCGGCAGGCGACTGAGACAAAAAGAGGGGAGCTTGAGGAAGCTCTGTGGTGGGGTTCGATGAGATGATATCACTCAAGCTAATGGAGGAGCCAATCAATTAGCACTGTACATGTTAGGCACAGCTTGGTGCCGTAGCACAGTCCGCTACAGTGTGCTTCGTTTGGTTGGGAGACAGCATTCTCACGTAAATATGAGGACGGTCCCCATGATGAAAACTCAGAGAACATAATATGTCTATGATCGGGAGAGAAGAACCGAGAGTTAAACTCTAGAGTAAGTCATTGGTGACCCATTGGGTACTCAAATGTTGGACACATTAAAAAGAGAGAGTTTGATCTGTCAGTTATGAACTCGAGTATTGCTATGATCGTGTCATGGAAGAGTGCACAGCTGAAGAGTTCAATCACGACACCTCGAAAACTCACGTCGGCATGAGGAGCATTGACCAGTCTATAACCCCCACCCACCTTTTCCCATGAAAGGCTGCTTACGATGAAGCCCTTATTTTCCTTTGTTAGGTTTGTTCTTGGCAGGCACAACATCAAACGTCGGCCTAAAGATGACCTCCCTATAGTATCTAGCCTCCTCAATGCTCTCCAGGATGTCATCCCTCGCCTTGTGCAGACCCTTCTTATTGGGAACCTTATTCACAATCCTCTTGGCTGCCCAGCGTCTTGCGGCCTCCTTGATAGAACTCACGTCAAGAATTCTGTGATGCAGATGTCTCATGACCCGCTTGTAGGGTTCACGTCGCAGAAACGCCCTATCGCAATGCACACTGTTACCCGCAAGAAGACCACGTTTGCGCTCAGGGATGAAGCGTGTTATGTACTCATACAGAGCGTCTGCGGCTTGCTCCGGAGTAGTTGTGGATTCGAGAACAGCAGCGGTGAGGCCAGAGTCTGCGTGTGTCTTTGTGCACCATTCGTCCATCTGGTCAAGACGGGATTGGGGGAAGTGGATGATGGCGTGGAACCCCTCCTCATCAAGAATCTCGAGGTTTCCTGTGGTGATAATACAGTAGATCTCGATGATTTCGTCGTTGTCTTGATCAAGGCCAGTCATCTATCTACGATGTGAGTTGATGCCCCTTGTACCACGTAACAGTACATACCTCGCAGTCAATCCAGACAAGAGGATCATCGCTGGCGCTCTTGGGCTGGCTATCAGCCTTTACTCCTGCTACTGTCGACATTGTTGTGAGTTTCGGTGGCTGCAATGTAACGTTGATGTTTGAATCCGGCTTTTCTCATGAGGTCAGTACTCGAGTAGTGGGGTATGATCCATTCAGAGCCCGTTAAGCTTCCAGTTAGTGCATACTTACCTACAGTTAATCAATGCGCTGGAACGTTGCGTGTATTAATGAGCTCTGCCTCATTGGCCATCATGGCCAACCTCAACCACACGATATACGAAAACAATTCCACACAGACACAACTTTCAGCCTCAACTGAGAATGAGTATTACAGCATAATACGTCCTTTTATTTGTGATTATTCAGCCGACATTCTCCGTACGACAACAGCTCTCCAATTGTGCTGCCTGCGAGGCATCGGCGAACTACATCGGATGTCTGGCTTCTTCGTTTAGTCCCCCTCAAGGCAGATACTTAACTTTACCAGCCTTGAACACATATAAACAAATATTTTCGTATCTTCACACTTTCACTGCTTGATTTCGGATTCTTCATTATTCAAAATGTCTCAACTAAAGAACGTCTTAACAAAGCTTACCAGAGCTCAAGATGGAGATGTCGAACCACAGCCAGAGACTCTTATCTCCAAACCCCCTCCCAAGCCTGAGATGTCAGTGACACCACCACGCTTCCTCATCATCGGTGCCGGATCACGAGGGCAGAACTACGCCGCAGCAATCGACAGCGTATCCAATGGCGTTGTCGCCGCTGTTGCTGAACCCTTGAAGTTCAAGCGCGAGTACCTCGGCCGAGCCCACATCTGGGGTGACGGTTCCCCTGCAGAAGGCCAGTCTTTCCATGACTGGAGAGAATTCTTTGCATATGAGCAGGATCGTCGAAGGCGAGCTGCTTCTGGTGAAGAGAATGTACCGGAAGGTGTTGATGGAGTCTTCGTTTGCGTGCTCGACGAGATGCATCGTGAGGTTATCGTCGGTCTTGCACCACTTGGGCTACACATTATGTGTGAGAAGCCTCTTGCATGTTCCCTTCAAGATTGTATCGACATGTACAAGGCCATGCGTTCCTCTCAAACCACCAAGATCTTCTCAATCGGCCATGTGCTGCGATACAGCCCACACAACATCATGCTCCGCAAGCTTCTCATTGAGGAGCGTGTCATCGGCGAAATATCAAGCGCCGTACACACAGAGCCCGTAGGTCAGTAAAAGTGACATAAACTCAGAAATCCCTTCGAAAACACAAGCCGATGTTTGATATGTGACTGACTAAGATAATGAATAGGTTGGTGGCACTTCACACACTCATATGTCAGGGGGAACTGGCGCAACGAGAATACCACTGCGCCATCCTTGTTGACTAAGAGCTGCCACGATATCGATCTGTTGCTCTGGCTGCTCTCCTCTCCTGAGAAACCAGGACAGGGAGAGCCACATCTCCCTGAAACGGTCTCATCTGTTGGAAATCTTCATCTCTTCAAGAAAAGCCGTAAGCCCAAGGCTGCAGGATCGGCAACAAACTGCATGAAATGCCCCCTCGGAGACGAAGGGTGCAAATTTTCTGCAAAGAATATTTACCTGGGCCCCCAAGTCAAGGGCTTGCAGGCTGGCAACACGAGATGGCCAGTCAGTATCGTCGTTCATGACATTGAAGACTACCCCTCCCACCAGAGGAAGGAAGAGGTGTTGATCAAGGCCCTGGAGGAAGATTACAACGACTCTACACCAAAGTCGGAGATACAAACCCGTAACTGGTTCGGTCGTTGTGTCTTTGAGGCTGACAACAATGTCTGCGACGACCAATTCGTCACCATTACCTGGCCCGAGTCCACCAAGCCTTCAAAGACAGCTACTCTGCACATGGTCGCTCAGACAACAAAGATCTGCGAACGTTACTCTAATTTTTACGGCGAACATGGTGAAGTTCACGCCGATTCACGTCGCATCGTTGTTGAGGACTTCAACACAGGCGAGGTGAAAACATATCATCCTCGTGTCGAAGATCTTGGCCATGGTGGCGGGGACTTGGGTCTGACACGCCAGTTTGTCATGGCATGTGATCGCGTCAAGAACCATGACTGGCAGGCTCCTCGTGCTCAAGATGAGTTCATTGGATGCACTCTTGAGGAGGTACTGCGAAGCCATGCTATGGTCTTTGCAGCTGAGGAGGCTAGACTTGGCCGTAAGGTCCTTGAGTGGGAGGAATGGTGGAACAAGGCTGTTGAAAAGCAGCTGGAAACTTAACAGTCATGCGTAATATGTCAGCTTAGCAGTGTATATCTGAGTAATGGTGACTACCTAATGGCCAGAATGATTCCATTACTAGCATATTCACGTTATGACTTTGTGAATGAAGCAAGTTTGACTTGAGCATTATCATGTTTTTGAATTCGTCAACTAGTAAACCGTTAGGTTCGTTCTGAGAACAGAAATATACCAACTCATGCAATCAAATATTCATGCAAATCCCTTCAAGTGTGAAACCTCACATGTCTTTGCAAAAACAACCTGCTATCTTTATGAATCCTCCGTCGTCCAGAATGAAACTCCCATTACTCCCATGAAATCATTAACGACACGTCTAGCTCAGCTCAGCTCTGTTACCCTCGTTTCCCAAAGGTTGGACAGCTGGTAGTTCCTGAACATGCTGTTGAGTGGCGCCCTCGGGGCCGTCCTTGTTGGGACCCGGGCTGGGAGTGAAATGGGGAGGGGGTGATGTGGATGGAGCTCCGTAGCCGCCGACACCATACTGAGAAGGATACTGCGTTTGCTGAGGGTACTGGCCCTGGAAGTTCTGGGGTTGAGGAGAGTAGCCGCTGTATCCAGGCTGTTGGTATCCTTGGGGTTGACCGTAGGGAGCCGCCAATGAGGGGTCGTATGCCTGCTGGTAGCCACCCTGATAGTTTGAGGGTACTCCAGAGGGGTAGGCGGCGTTGGAAGGCGATGAGGGAACGAAGCTGGGCCCTGGGCTCTGGGGTCCTTGGGCCATGGGAGGTTGGTTTTGTGTACCATCGCCGGGAGTCGCAGTAGCAGCAGGAGTTGTCTTTTTGCGGCGGCGAAACAGAAGAAAACCAGCAAGACCAACGAGAGCGAGAGCTGCGACACCGCCGACGACACCACCAGCAATGGCGCCAACGTTGGTACTGCTGCCGCCACCACCGTTATCAGCACTTGTGGAGGTTGCCGCAGCACTGGTAGTTGTGGACGATCCGTCGTCGGTGGTCGTAGAGGGGTTGTCAGTAGCGGATGAATCGCCGCCTGAGGTCGAAGATAGAGCTAGAGGGTCAGACAAAAGCAGGACAGAGGTGCCGTTGCCAGCAGAGCAGTCGAATAATGTGAACTCGTCGACACCTGTGGTCGCAACCCACTCAAAGCAATTGGGAAGATCACGCTGGCCACTAATATCAAGTTAGCAATGAATCAATCAACATTGCCTTTCTTGATTGAATAATAGACACGTACCAGCAGAGAGTATGAAGGTCTGAAAAGGATGTGCATTCGTCACGAGATCGCGAGTAGGGGATGCAAGTTGTCTTGACCGAGTTGCAAGATCTCGCAGTATCACAGCAGCCAACATAACCATCGGACAAAGTGCAAGTGGCGGATAAGGTGTTTGTACAAGTAAACGAGTCTATTGTAGCTCATGTTAGTTTAGAACATTTCGAGATCGAGATCTAGCCCTTGGCCTTGTTGGTCCAGGGCTGTGTTATGTCTGCGGCTTCGCGACGAAGCACGCCGAGGTATCGACTCACTTCCTACTGTATCGTAGCCACAGGTATTGTCTGACTCGGCTCGTTTGCCCAAGGCAAAGCCCATGTCCATGGCACCGGCAAGTTTGGGGGCACCGGTTGGTACTGGTGACCATCCCATGGCGACCTGACCCAGTTCAGCTTCCTCCCCAAAAACTCCAGTCTGTCGAGGAGGTTCCCATGATCTCTCTTGGTTCGAATTCAACCAAGCGGCTGCGGCGGTTGAGCTAAGTGCTCCTAGAGCAAGGAGAGTAGCAGAGTGATGCATCGTAGTCTAGTGTCGTTGTACTCCAATCGATTAAGGGAGGAGATATTCGATCGATATTCTGGTGGCTGAGGAATTTGGTTTATCTTTCGAGGTTTTTTATGCGACTACCTGATTTTCGCGGGCCAAGGGGCGAGAAGAGTTTCGTCTCGCAGTCACGGTATATCTTGCGGTGTAAGTGAGTTGGTGCCCAAGCGATGCGAAGCAATTCAACCGTGTTGGAGCAGTAACCGACTTCGCAGCACAGCAACGATATGTAGTTGGCAAAGAGGAAAAGTGCAGTAAGGCAGGGGTCGATGAGGGTTTTGTCCCTCGTCCGTTTGGCTGTACTATTTGGGGCCGAAAGGTGCAATTCGGCCCCGACGAAGACTTGCAGGCCATCGACATGGCGTCTGTGAGGTACATTGGGCGCACCGGCCAAGTACATCCACATATGTGGTGTCAGGGTACCTAGGCTACGACTGGGGCGAGGCTTGATGAGATGGCAGAGATCAACGGCCACAGCCCCGTGCCCTAGGAATTTTCTGCCTTTCTGAGTGCACCAAAATCATAGCCCCTGCTCACTCTAGTGAGATCCCTGCGCCTAGTGGCGTTACTGGTAGGCGATCATTGGCGCGAGACATCTTTAGTGCATCGAGCTGAACTGACCCCTGTTCGAATTCAAAAGCTTGATGGATACTCCGTAAGGGTAGTATCATTACATAGACTGGTACAAGGGTGCGAGCGACTGTTCAGCCTTTTGAAACTCAGCCCCCGGCCAGCTCAAGAAACAACCCGACTTTCAAGAGGCTCAGTCTCTAAACAAAACAGGCTTGTGTAACCCCGACGTCGGCCAGCAAGGAGGTATTACCTCTACCTTATAGCAGGTGGGCAGTCACTGACTATCACGTGGGCATTCAAGTGATATTGTTAAGAAATCAAGTTGGCTACCTAATCTCGTGTTTCTCGTGAACTCATCACAGGTTCCATTTCCAACCTTAACAGCTGCATCCACAGTCCTCACAGTTTCCCTGGGCGCATGCAGCTTCACCAGCAAAGGCCTTCTTGCAGTCGCTATCATAGTGGCAAGAGACCCAGTTACCATCACCCCATCCCCAGTTCCATTTGGCCCAGCACCACGGGCCACTGTTGGCGATGTCTGGAGTACCGCCGCCGCACTTCTTCCAGCACCATCCTTTATCACAACCGTATTCCTTCTTTCCGTTATAGCACTTTCGCTTCTCCAGTATGGGGTTTTCGTTCCGGCTGGTGAGCTCAGATACTGGTTCTGGGTTTGAGGGCATTGCGTGGGAGCCAATGGCACAGTAGGCCACGAGGCTGGCGAAGGTGGTACTGATTTTCATATTGAAGAGACTTGCTTGGTGTTTGACAGTAGCAGGATATGAGATGGGTGAGATGAGATGGTAGAGGAAGTGAGAATGATGTGTTGAGGATGATACATATCTTTCACCCGAGGATCATCTCTCCTTTATACTCGTTCTCACCTCTTGACTTACACGCAGGTTGGTTCTCGTGCAGGGATAAATACGGTTAATTCTAAACAGGAGTCTCGTGGACGTTGAAGACGAGCCAACAGCATGATGCTTCTACGAAAGAGGATAGCTGGAGAGAGAAACACAGACGTTCTACCAGGTTGTTGGAGATAGAGTCAACAACATCATGCGACTGAATACTCGAAGAGGTTAAGCCAGTGAACTTCTGCGCGTTTACGAGACAGGTCCAGATGTGATAACAGAACCAACAGCATTATACTACTACGAAAAGAGTTGGTTATATTCGTTCTGCTAGGGTGCTGAAGACAGAGACGACACATGAGCGAATCTGAGCCTGGATATGGAGTAAGCGTATGGAGTAGAAGCGGATACTCGTCGTACAGCATCTCAACATTGAAGACAGAACCAACAACATTACCAGGTTGTCAAAGGCATGACTAGCACACTGGTGGATCCGATACTAGCGAGGCAGGTTGTTCGACGCAGGTGAAAGACTCACCGTATACGTTGATCGATCAAGTTTGGTGAGAAACCCGTACATGACACTGTAAGATATTTGGTCCATCTATTTCTATAAACAACAATAATAAAACAAAAGCTTATGTAAAGACATATATGATAATATGCTTCAAGTCCCTAGTGTCAGGTCACGTATTTATCTCTCTGAGTCTGGTGTGAAGTCTTTGGCAGCGAGAGGTTTAAACGTCAGCTTGGCGCTAGATCGGTCTCGATTCACTTCTGTAAGTCATGCTCAGTCACAATTGGACTACTTCGACCAGGGCTGATGCATGCAGAGACATCCTGATGAGTTGACCATACGGAGCAGATCCAACAACAATATCCTTCAGGTCAAAGCCAACTTCACCGAGTTCCGAAGTTCAAGCCGCAGCTGTATGTATTCAGTAGGAAGCATTCGATAATTTAATCCTATGTAAGATGGTTGGGCGAGGATAAGTGAGGTTTAAAGTCTACAGCAGTTCCTGTATACATACAATGAAAGTTGTACAGTACTATCTTCTGACCGTCGCCTCGTCTAAATTTCTCTATCCAGTATGTCCTCACGTTGTGTTGTGTTGCGTTGTTCGGGTTGGCTTCGCCTCAAGCATGTGGCCGCTGTGCTCTCGGGCTCGCCTCACAGCTGCATAAGTGCATCTTAACACAGAATAGACAAAAGAGACTATTGGATGCACATGCAGGAGACTGTGGTCAAGGGCCGTCCGCTCTGGGCCATGGTTAACCAACGTACTCCAGGTATCAATTCAATCGACGTCGTCTCCAGTCAGATCATCAGGCCAAGAAGGTTATGTTTAGGTATAAGCCACCTCCGCAGTCGCAGTCCTGAATGATTTTGTGCCGATGATGCGGTTCCCCTGTAATAATCAAAGATAGAAACAATCAGACCAAAAGACTAACATGGACTTTTCCCCATATGAGTGATCGTTGAGAAAAGTACCTGCGTAGTACGATGGAGGTACCTTGAGAACCCAACTAGCAGCAACAGGGCAACGGCTTACAGCACACTAAGTATCGAGCGTTCGCCTCTAGGCGTTCATTGGCTGGCCAAGTTGGACGTGGTCTCCCGTGATTTCCGTTGATTTGCCTGGCTTTTGAAGCAAATTGCCGAAATGGGTATGCGAGTATACGCGCCTCGCTCATGAGTGGCCCTCGCACAGGTGGCCCAAAATAGCATGCCGCTCCCCGATACCACAGCACCAAGGGCGTTGAGTTAAGCTTGATAGATGGAGCCAGAGGTTGGCTATGCTGAGCTTAATCACAGCGTATGACCTAGGCACTCTATTAGGTACTGTCTTCTCTGTGCTTCCAACTCAGCAGACAGTGTCCATCCGATGTGTTCCCCGAGGTGGCATTCAATTCGCCGCCAAGAGCGTGGTTGAAGCGCCCCGTGCCGAACAGTGTGGGCTTCTGAGACCCTGCTGCATAGGTTGACCATGGCAGCATGGATAATCAGCCTCTCGGTGAGTGGCAGATTGCTCAAGTCCCAAAAGCAATGGATGGCCATAAAAGCCCAATTCCGCTTAGTCTCCATAGATGGGCAGTCACTAAAATCTGACGCTGGGCGACAGCGCCGGGTCTCATTTCAGCCGATTTATGGCCTTGCTCTTCGTCGACTCATTGTAGGGCGTGGATGCCAACAGGGGGGGAATCTTTGGTAGCTCGTAGGAACAGTAACTAACCCTGTGAGGGCGTTATCGACTTGACGACTAGCCTTGCACAGCATAGCGTGCTAGGGGCTGGGAAACGGCGATGCAGCTAGGATTTGCTAATCTTATGAGACGATAATTGAATGAGAGGGCAAGATTGACGGTCAGAACGATGAAATCTTTGCCCGGGCGGAACCTATTCCCGTCATATGATACCTCGCGGAATTAGCCGTGCTATTGGGGACAATCAACTGGTGCATCATAAAGAACCAAAGAGTGTTTGCTGTACATCATAAATTCATCATGGGCTACAAATAGAAGCTCAATTGATAGCCACGGCCTAGAACACCGTAGTCGGTCTTCGGTATTCATCACCTCGTTCTCTAGTTGGCCGTAATCTCAGCCTTGAATTTCTTGGCTTACCACGACACATAGCCACGGAAAGGATATGAAGCTAATTTCCAGCTAGTGCACAGTTGCTCACCTTTGATGGCTTTGGCAGCCAGAGAACGCTCTGCAAATTGTTAACTTATACTCAAAAGTCAATACTGTAACGGCACTATCGAAACTTACTGCCAAAGCGCCGTAGGCTGAGTTGTGAACCATCTTCTTTTACACCGACAGCTCCGTGCTCTGTCATATTGTTTTCCACGGAGTCTCCGCATGACAAAACGAGAACGCATGGATAGCGGAGTCAAGACGAAGACCCTTATCGACCCAGCTTTGCCTTGTGTGGAATGAGAGGCTGATTTGATGGAGATGACTACGGAGTAGATGACCTAGAGATTATTATAGCCGAAACGGCAAGCATATGGTGACCCCCTGTCGAAGGATCTGTGTGCTTACCAATGTTATCCCAACACCAACATCCGAGAGAAACTCCACGGAACAGCGAGATTTCAAAGCTTCAAGATGAGACAGACCTACGAAAGACTGACCAAAAACGACCCGTGCTTTATAACAGGAATCTATCGTGAGAGTGACAGAGACAAAGCCTGATTGGCTAATTATCGTTCAGGATCATATTTCGCAAGGAACATGCCGTCTCATGCCATTTGCTTAGAAGTGCTATATTCATCATGGAGCTAGATAGTATAAAGAAACAAGTGTTTCTCCCTCTATCAGCAGAATCATCCCATCGAGCGAGCCAGCCAGCAAGCAAGAAAGCGAAGTTCTCAAACATCACATCACATCCAACATAGTTGACAGTCGACAAAATACTTTTGCTCAATATGTTTTCTGAAGCCAAACCACTCCCTCCCGTCAAGAGATTCATCACCACCCATGACTCCAATGGAAATGCCATCTGGGATGAAACTATCCCCATTCAAGTTGAAGGAAACCGCAGCGGTGGCTTCACGACTCACGTCTCATATGTGAACGAGGATGGCACCAACACTCTGACAGGTGACAACGACCTCAAGTCATACAGAGAAAATCCCACCGAGAAGGACATTGCTCCAGCTTCTGGCTCTGCCCTTCGAGTCGTCGATTTCTGGCCTGGCTTCCCCGCTATCATGCATCGGACTGCAAGTGTTGACTATGGCATAATCGTTGAGGGCGAGATTGACTGCATCCTCGACAATGGGGCCACAAAGACCTTCAGCAGAGGTGACATTATCATCCAGAGGGGAACTAACCACGCGTGGAAGAACACTGGAACTGAAGTTTGTCGCATCTGCTTCACCCTTTTACCTTCTCCCCCCGTCAAGATCCGAGGCAACGAGCTCGAGGTACATGGCTTCGCTGATTTTCCGCGGCTCGCAGAAGAATCGACCGTCTGAGCCGATAAACATCACAGGATGAGGGAGGCAAAGCAAGTACATTAATAATAATTGTTCATGTCATACTATTGTACACCACCGCCTGCCCCCAGCGAGAAGCAATTCGACTTTTGTTCTCAGTCACCCACCCATTCTGCAATTTGAATACCGTGCCGTCTCCTGCGATTCTGTGACCAAGCTCCTACCACCCTTTCGTTATTCTATGTAATTCCGTCAGGAAAGCGAAGCACAACGGCCGGTGTAGGTCCTTCTTGATACGCTCGAATCGGCTCTCATCGTGTTTGGTGACGAGTCCATGCCTTACCATAAAATCCAGCATCACCAGTCCGCAGTTAGGCTTCCATCGATTGCTGTTCAGGCTTTCCGTCACTTGAGGTACTCCCATGGGCTCAAATCTTTCGATTGCGCTCTCCATCTTCTTCGGTCGAAAGCTTGGGTTAGTGATCTTGAGATCGTAGACGATTCGCAGGCCCGGCTCGAGGTGCTTGTTGTAGAGGTCACCCGCACTCTCATCTTTGAGGTCGAAAAACGTAATGGACGACGCCCTTTCTACGGTCCCAACGTGGATGCGCATCTTCTTCGTCTTGTCCCCATCATCACCCCCCATTTCCTCGAAGAATACTTGTCGTGTCTGGTGATCTATGGTCAAACCAGCCTCCTCTCTTGCCTCCCGTGCCAGCGTCTTGCAAGGAGCTAGCTGCCCGTCTATCGTGTCGTTGGTATCCGCGCCTCCAGCTACGATCTGATCTAGCATCCCAGGGTAGCTGTAGTTGGGGTCTTTGGAGCGATGTGAGACCCAAATTTGATCAATGGTTTCCTTGCCATCTTCCTCCTTCACTCTGTAGACATTAAGATGCACGCCCACCGTTAAGACCCCAAGGACTCCTCGCAATGGCAAAGGAATGCTCAAGGGCAAGACGTTGACTCCTGGATCAGCTAGGTGAATCGGGCAATACTCTTGATCTGCTTCCTCTGTCACCTTCCACAGACTGAAGGCGGGGAACTTGTCTGCGTTGGCGGCTAAGAGCTTTTGAAATGCGATTTTGCAAGCTTCTGCAGGAGAGGGAATGTGGGAAATCCCGTCTGCAGCAAGGTAGTTGTTACTCCTTACAATGGTAATTCTCCGGACTTCGTCGCCTTTCTTATTGACCGTTTCACAATGAAACCATTTAACGTCCCACTGAAGCTTGATGCAGTCTTCCTCCCGAACATATCCCACAATTTCGTCGATACCTTCGATGAACAACTTCCACAAACGTGCATACTCATCGAGAAGGCTGGCTTTGTTGGCCCTCTCGATAACTCCATACAGACTACTCATGGCAGGTATGGAAGTATGAGCATTGGTATGATGCTGATAAAGGTGTTTGCAACTTAAAGGTGGTGGTTCAAGTCGCGGCGAGGCTGTGACCAGAAATGGTGTTGAATGTGCAAACTTTGTTGAAGCCATGGTGAAGACGTTGAAAAAGAGCTTTTAAGGAAAGGTATGTTTGCAACGTTGGGAAAGAAGGCTTCAGTGAATGCAAACAGCCGTGCCATGAGGTCAGTGAAGGAAGGATCGTTGTTGAAAACCCCCCAAAGCCTTGCAGTGAAAAAAAACCGTTTGCGCTTACATGGATTCGATGGATGAATATAGATACCCATGAAATAAGGTAAGGTAAGGTAAGGTACTGCCTGTCTGCCACCTGCAATTGGGTCTCCAGTCTGGTCCGTGAACCGCAGCCTCGGGTGGCCACTGCCTCCTTGCCAACAACTGGATAAACAAGTCTTCGCGATGCGGACAGGATAGGTAGGCAGTAACAGCTACTTGTCTGCGAGGTGTCGGCACGTAATATCCCCTTAATACTTGTGGTTCACAGCTCTGAGAAGGAACTCAGGTAACCCTCCCCTTGCAGCCAGACAAGCTTTCCGAGTCATGAGGACGACTGTGTTTATTTGGTACAACAGGCGGCTTGTGTTATATGGACTGGACGTGAGCGCGTGTGTGAGTAATTGTGATATTGGTTTGTGACTGTCTGTGATGAGGGGTTGTTCCCTGCGTTTTTGTTAGTGTATCTCGATGAAAGTGCTGTTGCTGATCAGTTCAGTGTTTCAGGGTATGTACTGTTGTTTAGGACATACATGCGGAGTACGCATGCATTTATTCGCACTTGTTGGTGCATCCAAGAGAGAGCTTGCGCGAATTAGAAGTCATCCAGCTGACTTTGTACCCGGATAAATTGAACATGAAGTTGACCAACCTAGGCAGTTAATTGATACGTCCCGAGAGGTCCATTCAATAGTCTCACTTTTGTTGCCCGTACCTTACCTTATCTCAAACTCGATAGGTGGCCTAGCAGCGGGACGGAACAGGAGCCGGACACCCGCCCGCTCGCCCGCAGGACAGGGGCTTGATGGCGCTGAGCCATAGCCGACCGAACTCGAATTCGAGACGAGGGATTAGACTGGACAGTGCAATACAATACAATACAATGGTTTCCATCCTGATCAATTTTTTATTGTTCTTGGCTATTGTACCTTACTCAGCTTATTGTTGTCAGTCAACGACCGTGTTTTCTGATTCTTCTGTACACCCTTGCCCCAGCTCTTGGTTCGGTACCATTGACCAGTCCTCCGGTTCCATCTCATACCAGTAGAGTGGTCCTCACCGGGGTTATGTGCCTGTGTGACAATACATACGAAATCAAGTGTGTAAAGTGAAATAAAATGATGTGATGTGATGTGAAGCAAGTAGAGCATTGACGAATGCTGTCCGTCCTCATGCGCCTGTGATCTGTGCCGGTTGCCCGTGTCATACCCATATCCATTCCCAAATGCACTATTTTTGCGGAATTTTCGTTTCGTCGTTTCAATTTCCCTCAAGATCTTACATAAACAAACGCCCCAAATATCGATATTGTAGCAAAAGCCACCGTCGAGGTGGTCTATGGGAGGTGTCTTAGTGAGCCGCAGTGTGATGGGCTACTCCAGGTCCCGGATATGCTGCAGCCTTTGCGATAGAGTGATCGTAGAGCCTTGCACCAGCTGAAGCTGCTGCCGCGGCAGCGGCAGCCGCAGTGGTAGTATCCTCGAGAGCATGTTGTGCGAGTACCGGTGTAGATAGTGTCGCCGTCGCGGTACATAGGTTACATAGCTCCATCTGGGGCTCAGGGGTAAGGCAGTAGAACGGGCTCGAGCATTTACGAGCGCAGCGGGTGAAGTCGATAACCGTCTCACCAAGGCTATGGCGGCAATCCTTGCACATCCGCTGGGCGATTACGGTATGGCACATGTTGATGAGATGTGGTTGTACAATGGGGGAATATGTAGGGGGGAAGTATGCAGTAGTATGTGGTAAACGTATGTAGGTACGTTGTATTTGTTGTAGTATGTAAGGATGAATGGGAGGGAGGGACGATATGTATGTAAAAGCCTTGGGATGTGGAGGCAATGTGCAAACGAAGAAGGTTGTTGATAGATAGCCGTGAAGCTTAATAAAAAGAACAAATTTTGAAACGGTTCAAGGCCTGGTTATTTAGCTGTAACACAGATATGGTGAGGCCTCGTTGTGTATCGACAACGTAAGCACGCAGAGGCGCAGCTGCAAATGTTGTTTATATTGTTGAAGGAGGCTTGGACGTATCTCAGGCATAAGTAGAGAAGGTGTGTCGAAGATTGTTTTTATCCAACCAAACAAGCAGAGAAGCAGGGCATATAGGATTCCAGGGGGCCCCAGGACCCTTTTTAACCTTTCGTAAATCTTCCGTAAGATACAACTAGAAGTCTCGGGGTGGAAGTACCACGAGTGACAGTTGCATGACGCACGTAGGCAAGGTAGTAGTCGTTGGGATAATAGAGTTAGGCTTTGATCAGGAAAGAGAGAGGGAAACGTCCAGATAATCCGATGGGCCAAGTACAGTATGTGTTGTGTGAATGAATTAGAGAGACAACAAGGGGAGACAAATCGGAGGGAGTATGTGTGTGACCACAGAACGCCGTCATATGACTATTCATCTCCTCAAAGGGAATACTCGGAACAGAATTGGGGGACGTACAAACCACTTACTATCGACAGACAAGGAAGGCAGTTGGAGGATGAAAGGGTGTGTGTTGAAGAGCCAGCGCCAGCTCAGCATTAATCGTCTGGCCTCAAGAGAATTGTCAGCCCAGAGGTCGCGAATTGGTAGGATGAAAGGTCTCATTCAGAGCCCAGACTTTTTTGTTTTTCTGAAAGCGTGTGCCGTGTGCCTTCTTCTGCCAATAACCAAGAGGGATCGATGCATCCGTGACCAGCAAAAAGAGCTTTCCCCGCATTGTACCGTCTGCGAACATCCAAAGGTAAATAGAGCCTTGACTAATAAGTTGCAAGGGACGATACGGAGGTTACCTTGGCTCTGAAGCTACTGCAAGGATAAGCAATCACAATGAGGCACTTTATTGCAACTATGTGCCCCCATCAGCGGGTATTCTCGCCTTTCTGACAAGAAGCAAAAAGGGCACGGTTTTGTCTGCAGCTTTGGATAGGACGACACGCGTCTCGGCTTGTCTTGTCTTGACTCCATTCCTGGGGTTGTTTTTTTCGCGGGGAATGTCTTTGATAGGTATAGCCAAGTATGATCCATTGTAACTAAACTTGGCGCGCGCCGCAAGCTTGGCATTCTAGATGGGCTTTTGCCTCTTACACGCATAACCAGGCAGCCCAGGGTATGTACCTTTTTTCCTTCTATCACATGGCATTTCATGATCTCTTATCACGAATAGCCTGACTGGGGAGCTTGTATCCCTATTTTCACGTCATGTCTCATCATAGCATCGTGAGCAATTATTATGGTGCATCTCGCTTCGTCAAAAACGATACCTGATAAAGGGCGTCCTATGGTTTGCTGCGAGATGTTTGCCCCCTTGTTGCCTGTCAAAAACACGGGATGATGTAGAATCTACGTGAGACAGGGGGAAATCGTCCGCCTGCAGGTCTGTACATACGATACTTGTGAAAGTCGACATCCAACAAACAGCCAGTATTTTCCATTGCTTCTATCGATTTCGTTCCAACGTAAATCACCGGCCCAATATCTCCGCCCATCATGCAATAGCAATCTCGATCAGGTTTCACAAAGGAACATGGCTCTCAGCTGATGTATTTGCCTGATGCCCACTTAATCAGGATCTTGAGTATCAGCCAGTATTCGAGTGTCTCCAAAGGCCACGTCTTCCGTCATCAGGCAAAGCATTAACTTTGTTAAGTCTTATCGTTACGATAGTCACTCAGAACTATGACTTGGTCCGGCATGGAGCCAAAGCACCGGAGTGTCATCTTGATCAAGGCGCCGCATATGCATTGCACCGTCATATTCTAGACCAGCCATCTTCATTGACTTCTATCCCAATTGGTCTCCCCGGATACTGCTGAGTGGCCCTTTGAGCTTGCTATGGACGAATTGGATGAGCCAGAATCTCCCATCTCAGCCGCCAGGATTTTGATGAACGTTCATGACCGCTTCGCTGGCTCCATTCAATCCATTGACTGACAGCTCGGGCTGACCTCAAATTGATCTGACGGGTTAACTCGTGAGACGCTTCACAACGGCAGTTGTTGTTTGGTGTGTTGGTGAGCTCTTTCTTGAGGTTGGTGCCTACAAGTTCGTCGTCAGAGTTGCCAGCGTTGAACTCTCTAATCCCATAATCAGGACCACGGCAACGCCATGCCGGGGATTTTAACTTGAAAGGCTAGATGGGCTTCATGTTGTCACTGTCTACTGCTTAGAGAACGCCAGAAGAGGCGCGGCACACACTTCGGGGCTAGTCACGTCGATCTTGCTAAACCTTGTAGTAGCTTCAGCCACTTCTGATGAACAGGTTTTGGATTTATCGTCCCAAGCTTTTAATTATAACTGGGTAGCTGGGTTCATCAATTCTCTTGTTATGATGTTTTGTGGTATCGGAGAAAGTAATCTAGGCTACTCCGTACTGTTGCTGCATTCCACTTTGGGAGCCTCGAGTATTTAGAATGCTAGATCTTCGCCATTTACCTGTAACCCCAGGAAGAGCTGGGCTGACTGTATGATGTTGCTCAGGTACGGTTTATAGCTTTAAAGTACCTAGGGGAAACGATATCAAGGTTGATATTCAGAATTTGGTTATTAGTGTATTTTTTGGGGGCTCATCTCGTCCAAGATTGATATGGAACGAATGCTCAATAACCACCTAACAATTGTGTACTAACAACTTAACTACAAAGTGGTATAATAAGTTTCCAGCAAGGCCGATGAGTTGCCAAGGGCTGAGAATATGCGGCCAGTAATTTATCACTAATAATGCGCTGATTGAGGGGTATCGCAAAATGCTGTGTTGCTTTGTATGAAACTGATATCGCTCCCGGGTAAGTGATGATCAAGTACCTAGAGAAATTGCAGCGCAAATCGAGGAACCAGCTCTTGTCGCTCACAACAATGGATGAGGTATACACGCTGGAATTATAATTCGTTTGCCGTTTATTGCTACAGAGTTGTCGGGGTTAGTAAAGCTCGAATATCTCAAAATTCTGATGCTCACTCTCTAGTCCTTCAGCGATCTTGAGAAGTTAGACATTCCATCATGTCATTCGCTGAGGCCCAATAGCCATATAACTGACAGCGCCCGATAACCAACATTCATGTCATCGCTGATTGAATATCAGCTCATGTGAAAACACAAGAGGCGACAGGAGAGCAGAATGAATATGTACAAAAAATGTCGACATTTCTCCTTATATACACACCTATATATAGATATGCAAGCCTTGGAGAGTAAGAAAACGTCGAACATAAAATGAAGATGCTGAGATGAACTGATATGAGGCCTTACTGAGATATGTCAAATTACACAAGTCTCTTACCACTCTGCCACTTAGAAAAGAGGTCATACTTTTATGTTTTCTTATCTCTCTTTGGCAAGTTTTGTTGATTCTGACCCCATGCTCGCTGTGGAGCAGCCAATGGTAAACACCTATAATTCAATTGGCCAACCACGTAAACTACCTTACGTAAACATCTCGGGCCGGCGACAACCTCACTTGTTGGTCTTGGTGCGGCTTCTTCCCACGAGAGCCTCACAATCAATCGCTCAATTGAACGTTGTCCAACCCGCCCAACATGTTCGTCGCACGACAGAGGGTAGCCGGCGTGGCTCGTCAGCTGCAAAGGACGGCGCGAACCTACGCCTCTGACGCCCATGCCCATCACAAAGCCCCAGAAGTCAACGAGTCGTTCAGCGTATGTCAAGTCACACTAGCTTGCACCACGGAGCCGACGCTGATACCAATACCCTTGGATGGCTTCGATTGAAAATAATGTACTGATTACGATCCCTAGACCGGTTCTCTCCTCGCTGTCGGCGGTTTCTTCGGCTCCGTTCTCGTCTACCAATTCGTTCCTCAGGAGGGCGAGAAGTCCTCAATCCTCAGCCTCATCGACAAGTATACTTCCCGTGGAAAGGACTGGGAGGATATCAATGCGCTTCACACAAAGGCCATGGAGCAGGCTGGTTACGACCGAAATCTCTTTGAAAACGGCGGCAACAAGCACCGATTTGTCGATGTTGCCTATCCCGAGTTCGTCCACCTGATACCACTTGCCGTCATTCGATGGAGGATGCTGCCTTCTCTCCAATAACGGAAAGCAACTGCTACAAGAACAATTGCTAATCTGAGAAACAGGGCAATGACTTCGTATGCTCCCCGAAACAATGTTGCCGGCCATCTGGCCAACATGGACTATGTCGTTGAGCACTACCGTCAAAAGCATATCCAGGAAGAGGAGCGGAAAGCGGCCAAACTGGCACAGAAGGAGGAATAGTGTTGTAAACTAGCCACGAATCAGACATACCTATGAATTCATTTTTCCATTGAGTTATTAAACACAGTTTCCTGCTGATTCGATCTTGCATACCGAAGCGAGTTCGCTCCGTGTGCTCTCCAAACGGCCTCCCGCTCCTTCTCAATATTCATTGTCAACACCATTGCCTCGAAGCACCTACCCTCTCACGGCGCCCAGCTCTTTCCTAACACTCACCTACCTTGCGCTTAGCATTTCCTACTAACCATCCATCCTGCGAAGTCGAGTTACGCTTTGCCATCTCTCTTCTAAACATATAAGGTACTTTCAGCAATAATTCATCGACTTCGGTCGCCATCATCATCCGTCTTGGATCCAAACAGTCTTTTTCTAGCACGAAGTTTAACTCAATAAGAAACTAGCAACATGACTACCAACCAGAGCGGTGGGGATGATAGTGGTAGGAACAAAATAAACAACCTGTGATAAGATGCTCATACCATTAGCAGAAGACATGATTCAGCAGTCACCTCCCGACGAGCAAGCTCCCGAAGGCCAAGCTCCTGAAGATACAAACCCCGCAAACTTGTCATCAAACCCACCAGAGGCTCATGTATCGACTAACGAGGGGGAGAGCCGGAATGATAGTGGTAAGAACAAAATAAACAACCTGTGATAAGATGCTCATCCCATTAGCAGAACACATGATTCAGCAGTCATCTCGTGATGAGCAAGCTCCCGAAAATGCAAACCCTGCAAATTTGTCATCAAACGCACGAGAGGCTTCTGTATCGACTAACGATGGGGAGAGCCACGCCGACATTCGCTTTCAGGTTGGAGTTTTTGCCCCCTGTGACCTTCCTCAAGGCCACAAGATCATCGGCTCAGAACAACCATTATTTGAGGTTCCCCCCCAGTTTGGAGAGCCTTCTGCTTGGCGGCGCAAAGACTTGAACCCAACGGGAGCTGAATGCTTCGACAAGTTCAAACGAGACCACAACTGCAAGCCTTCGATCACCACAGCTATAATTAGTAGTTTGGCGTCCGAAACCCACCGTGCTTGCCCAGACTGTGCACAGGCAACATTCCGAATTGGTGAAACTTACGACATTACATTGACGCTTTTGAAGGATGTCAGAAAAGGCGATGAGATATGCATTGGCTTCGGTCAGACCCGAACACGCTTCGTCTGTTCACTTTGCAAAACCAGAGAACGTACATGGAAGTGGCGGAAACGCCAACTCAAGAGACTTTTCGCAAAACTTTACCCGCGCGACATGTCCCAGACCGCCGAACCACCAAGTGAATGATGTCATCAGAACTTGAGACTGAGGCTTTTCATTTCAGCAGGTTAGCTAGGGTAGGGTAGCAAGGGTTTGTGGGACATGGGATTTTAAAAGCATTATCACAATTGTCAGGCATCAGCGGTAGTCGAGGATAGTCATCAAGCGGACAATGCTCCTTTATTGTACTAATCATGGTACCCATTGTCATCAGTGTTTTTGATAGATGTTTTGCCCATCTACCAGAACCAGTCCTTTTCGCCCAAAATGTCCATGAATGCAGAAACCACCCAAGACCGCAGCCTTCTTACTTGAGGGGAATGAATCGAGAAGAGTGCGTGGCACCAATACCGGGCCTACCGTGCTTGACAGGCTTGCTAGAGGGAGGGTTAGCCATATTTTCCCTTGTTGGAGGTGACAGTAGAAACATACTATGAGATAGAGAACTCAGCCAGGTAGTGACCAACCATCTCAGGCTTGATCTCGACCTGGTTGAACTCCTTGCCGGAGTAGATACCAATGACACTGCCAATCATCTCGGGGACGACAATCATGTCTCGGAGGTGGGTCTTGACGAGGTCGGGCTTCTCGTTGGGCTGAGCCTCCTGCTTAGCCTTTCGGAGCTTCTTGATGAGACCCATGGGGCGGCGCTTCAGGCCACGGTTGATCCTGCGGCGGGCACGAGCGTGGACAACATCGCGAAGCTGGTCGGAGGAGAGGTCAAGGAGCCTGTGAGGTGGAAAAAAAAACATCAGCATGGGTTCCGTTCGCTCGGGGGTGCGTCCTCGCAGTTTTTTATCTTCCAGCATCGAGGCGCAGAAATCGTGCAGTGGCAACATACTGATCAAGGTCGATTCCTCGGTAGGAGAACTTTCGGAACGCTCTCTTTCTCTTGAGCTCGGCAGCCTGCTCGGCGTCCTATCACCCGGAAGACAAGTCAGTCAAGCTCTTTTTGGTATTCTCTCCATGTCTCCAATATCGTCATCATCATCGTGGGTAGCGGGCGGGAGTCGAGGAAGCCATGCCGGCGGCGGATGTATGTTTTCTATTTCCAGAGAGGAAGGGATATATCGAGAGCACACGTACGTATTCGTCAGCCATGATCGCGGTGTTGTGTTGTTGAATTCGCTGAGCGGAAAACTGATGGCCTGGCTGGGGTCGATTTGAAGGCGGTTGTTGCAACAATCGCTTAGGCGCACAGGGAAAGAGCGATGTAGGGTTCCTGCCCTTCGCCCCTCATCACGTGATTGTTCGAAACTGTGATTGTGGAAATTGAGGTACGTACACTGATTCCAGCGACGGAAGAAATGAGCTCCGCAATTCCGATATTTTATGGGGATGCGAAGCTCGGTATCGAATTCATGAGACGATGTCTCGAGTCTTTTCACATTGATTAGTAGCTTCTAACTAGTACCTACCTAGTACCTAGGTCGATCGTGTAAACTGAGATAGTGGTGACATTCTTATATGGCCGATCATTGTATATTAGCGAAGACATCCAAGTGGAATCTTCTCGACCTTCATGGTACGAAAGCCCATCGCAGCAACAACAGTTATACGAGATAGTGTAGTGGCCATCACATTCAGATCCTGTACAATTGGATGCTATGGAAGGATAGCGTAGACTCGAAGAGACCGGTAGTTATCTTGAATAGGTACCTACTCCTTGAACTCCCGGCGAGCTTGTTGAGTTGGCACTTGATTCTTCAATCATCTAGCCGTATAAGTGGTTGTCCTGGCTGGCTGGCAGGCATGTGTTACTGTAACCTTATTGGCAGTCTGCTGTCACCAGCCATGATCTCTCGGCAGCCAACCGAGCTTCTGAGCAACCCTATTCCCTTTTCCCTCTGCAAATCGTCTGAGAATAGATGCTGATTGGGATGAAAGAAGCGAATAGATCCAGCCAAGACTCGCGGCTCGCCTTCTTCAGCACATCTTAGGATTATTGATTCTTGTCATATTTTTGTGTGGTTTCGTCCTACATTGGCGTGCAACGCCAAGAGTATCAAGTTTACTGGGCGTTGTGCTTTGACAGTCAATCGACATTCATTTGCTTGAACAAGTCAAGGCGGTTTCTCTTCAGTAATGAAAATGCGAAAGTGAGTTGAGAAAGTAGAACGGTGAATTGATCTCATGACTGATGGTTACGGCCAAGACGGAATTTTCTGCCTTTTTATCTAGGGAATGGGATTGGTTGCGGCTTGGTGTGCATGTTCCAAGACTTCCAAGCCGGCGTATTCGGCACAAACCAAGGCGGCCTTCATTTCCCGTGTCAGAGACTCTCAAATGCCCAGAAATTCGATACTCATCAGCCAAGACCGTGGCACTGGGCCAAAAGGCTCGGCTTAGGCTGGACGAGCCCACTATGATGAGCATTGGCCCTAGTTAGCTACTGGGCATGGTCATGGTCATTGGGCCCCTCCCTCCCACGCTTCCGCAGTAACCTCTGATGGCTTGCGCGTGTCTTATGATGGAGGCTTGACGATGACATTCTTGAACGACTATCCGTGACGACCATGGGCTGTAGCTACTAAGGGAGAAGCTCACCTCACCTTAGCTAGGTGCAGTACTTACTATAGTACCTACTATGGACGACTACGACAATGAGGGCAATGCGGGAATGCCCAGAACTCACAGCGGTCAACGTGGACGTGTTTCGGTGCAATCCAGGCCTTGGCGTTTCTCGGCACCCACCCGTGATAAGATTTCGCCAAGCCTTCAAAGGCCTCAGAAGGGGGAACACCAACGCTACTGTACCCGTCCTCTCGCTGCTGCTGCTCGGCAGGCATGCTATGGACTTGTCTGCTGTCTGCTTTGCTTTGCTTGGCTGGTTCTTGTCGTTTCTTGAGTACGAACCTTTCCTTTCCTTTTATTCATTTGTCACCATTTCTTGTCTTGCTCGTCTGTGTTATATATCTATCCCCATCGGTTCGTTCCTCTACAATATCTACGCCCGGATGGCCTTCGACATTGCTACAGACGCTGTCCTCGATACTCTTCACGCGCGTCTTCTTGTCTGCAGCTGAGATATAGCCAAGTCTGCCCGAAACCCCACACTGCAGATTGCCTACCCAGCGAATCTTTCACGCGCCCTTACTATCCAACGAGAACGCAAACTATTGGTCGCATTGCCGGATGGACAAGTGTGACGATTGTCATTGATACGCCGAGTTGACGGCAAGCAGAGCACTCGTGGTGCGGCTTGTAGTCGAATCGGCCTGGCATATAAGCTTAAAGTTGTTCGCAATTAACTGCAACTCATTGTGGTCACCAAAACCATGTCTTCTTCGATCGAGGATGATGAGTCCACATCATCTGGGTTATCGTCAATAGCTTCCGCCGAGCCATCATCAACCATCTCTCTATCCGACCCAACGCCTGCTCCGACGACACTTGTGATCGCACCCAAGCCTACCAATGAAGACGACCTAGACGATAACGGGATATTCCCACCGATGACCACACCTTGGACCGGGCCTGTTGATTGCACATGGACTTTTGATGCAAACAAGGTCCCAAAGTCGGGTTCTGATGGCCTCGCAGCAATGCTTGATTTGCAGCCAATTGCTGGAGCGAAGTCATTGTCTTGCTATCCCGATGCCATGTTCGATAAAGGCCTTACAGGGGTTTACAGTCCAGGCACATGCCCTCATGGATGGACCACCGTATCATTGCGCGTTGATACTAGTGAGAATCGGGACGACGAGACAACGACAGCTATTTGCTGCTCATCGTAAGTCATGAGAGAAAGTGTTTAGATGTACCATTCTAATTGCAGTAGGGAATACACTCTGGATGGCAATTTGTGTAAACGTTCGATTTCATCCGTGTTGGCGGTTCCTTTCACGTACAACCAGACAGCTCAGACTTATGATGCTGTGTCAGACACACCAACGACTTTGTATGGTGCAACAATTGCTGTTTATACCATAAGGGCCCTGTTCAAAGATAGCGACAAAGATGCACTTGGACTCAAGGATGAGGACGATATCCCAGGTACCGAGCATCATGGCCGATCCTTATCCCTGGGCGCGCGCATCGGTATTGGTGTTGGTGTAGCGGTTTTCGTTCTGCTTGCTATAGGAGCACTTGCCTTTTGGCTCATTCGAAGAGAGCGAAAGAAGACGGAAAAGAGACGAGCACACGAGCTCGGTGCGGTGGGAAGCATGCGCCACACCTCGCCAGGACCAGGAGATAATTTCTACGCCAACCATCGACGCGACAGGAACCGCCAGACCGCAGAGCCACCACCAGCTTACGAGGCTGCTACGGACTCAAACAGCATGACCGAAAACGATAGTCAGCTAAGCGAGGATACGGCGACACGGGACGAGGAGATCAGGGCGTTGCAAGTCCAGAAAGAGGCGATTCAACGCCGTATAGAAGAGCTGGAGCGTTCTGAGACGCAGTCACAAGAAGACAACCGGCGAGGCTAAGACTAGAATCAAGTGCGAATGATCAAATTCTGGAAGTGAGAAGAGAGCGAGGGATCATGACTTGCACGGGAAACGGCCTACACACCTATGATACCACTTTGCGCGGCCGTAGCACGTTGCTATGGCCTATTTTGCTTTTTAACTACATACACTCATCTTACAGGAGAAAATATCCGAAAGTCTTTTGGAGTACGGCGGTTGGGTGGGAAAACATCATTAAAACCCGTACAGTTTAATATCAAAGTTTCAAATTCTTGATTTACCAATGCTTATAATAGAAGTTTCCTCCCCCTTTGTTGTCAATTGCAATTGTAAACTGCAATAGAGTCAGGTGTTGATGCAGACAACCATATAACAAGAGTCATTGTCTTACTTTTGACAACAGTGTTTGTCTCAAGGGGCTTGATAGAGTAGGTGAAGAATAGTATGAGATGGACAAAGCACATTGACCAGATTCATTTGTTTTTCTCAATAATTTCAGACCGTGCTGGAAACCATCCAAGCAGCGCACCTACAGACTCCTTCGTCCATAGCCAAGAGGCAAGAAAACCTAGAACCTCTCTCTATCCTGAGAGGGTGAGAGAGACTGAGAGAGATTTGGTACAGTTTGATATAAATTTAGTAGGCCTCAGATTAGGCATCTCTAGCGCCTAGTTTGATATCAGAAGTTTCTTGCTCCTCCAAGCCTGCCTCGCCGAGTTCTCTACCTATGCCACTTTGTTTGACTCAGCCGAAAGGAACTCGGAAGTCTGAGTAATTGTTGCTGTTCACCCATACCATGCCAGCCTCGATCCTACGGGCGACGTTGTGAGCCTTGCTGATGTTCTCTGTAGAGAGCGCACTACCGAGGCCATACATCGAATCATTAGCCAATCTCACTGCTTCGTCCTCGTCTTTGAACTTTAATACCACGGCGCATGGGCCGAAGGTCTCCTCTTGGTAAATCCGCATCGACGGCTTAACGTCGACAAAGATGCTTGGGCTGACGAAGTACCCCTTTTTGAACCTAGATGGCATATAGCCATCTAAGATATCTTTTGCCCCCTCTTCCTTTCCGAGACTGACGTATTCTCGCATTCTGTGAAAATGCGCTTTGCTGACAAGGGGTCCGAGGTATGTTTTCTCTTCGAATGGTTGGCCCACAGGATATTTCAGTATCATTGAAGTGAAGCCAAGATGAGCCCATTGAGCGGCCAAGTCCAAGTTTGAGTCTTCGAATACAATCAAAGGAGACTTTCCACCGGTTGTCGACCAGAGTGAAGGCGGAATGACCGCTTGGCGTGTCAACCAGAGGCTGGTGCTGTCTGGTTAAGTTACTCTTAACAAGGCCGGAGACTTCCTTGGCTCAGTCGCTATCGCCCTAGCTAACCGCCTGACCGATCTCATCGACTATCTGAACAGCATGCCTGTTTCGGTAGATGGCTCTGCCAATGGACTTACCGCCTAGGTATCTCCTACCTAATATCGCCAATCTCTACCCAGAGCTACACGTTGAGGATTACCTAACCAAGACCGCTATCGGACGTCTCACTCTCATACGCCAGAGCTGTACGCACGGCGGTTGCGGCATGGAGGAGGACTTCCATGGGAGAAAGTCATTGGAAGTTGGTGGCGCCCTTGATGATTATTCAAGGGGTCGAAGATGGAGTTGTCCCTATCAAGTTTACAGTTGAACATTACAAAAAGACCTGCAAGGAAGAGCCTGGCCTTCAGTCAAGTTTTTGACATTCGCAGGCCAGAACCACGACAGTGTCACTAACTCCGCTCAGGCTGACTATATGTCATGGGTCAACGATTTGTTCAATGGGAAGAAGATGAAGAAGGGCTGTTCCCGGATGGATATTTGTCCTTTGACAGATAGGTTTAAGTCAGTAGCCATCCAATATATCGCCAGCAAGTAAATTGAGAAGAGATTTGCTGGGTTTTATGGCTACACAGATTGTTATTTCATTATGTATTTGGTAAGAAGCGTAGTTTTAGTTGGTTTTCTTCATGAGTATAGATTTTGTTAGAGGCAGTTTCGAAGTAATACCATCCTGAACTGTCCAAAGTATCAACTTATTTCTGAGTTAGTAGGTGGGCCACGCATGTCCAATACTATTCAGCACATATTCTTTTCGTTCAAACAACACATCCATCGATTTGAGGTACACGGGGCTATGTCATTTGATTGAAATTGCGAAGCTGAGAGTGGTAGGATATATAGTCTCGATATCGTAACTAATAATTATTGTTCGTATTTCAACTAGTGCATAGTAGCTCTCCTCAACAAACAAGGCATGGTAAACACACGTTTCTATCTTTTTAACATACCTATTTGGGGATAACAACTTACAGAAAAGTACATCGGTTACCGTAACTCTTCGGCAGAGGGTTGGTCTTTAGACTACCTCTACGGAATACGTGATGATATTGGTGAAGGAACTCTACCTCAAAGCCTCAGACCCGTGTGATTCCATTGGCTGATTCTGATTAGGTCGACATTTCCACTAAATACCTGAAGGGTCTGGAGGCTAGGGGAGGAAGGAAAACTCAGGACCTTGACCCTAAGTGATGAAAATAATAGGTAAATTTAGCCTAAGTTTAGGGGACTCTTTGCCAAGTTTATTTTCACATACTATATTAAGGTTCGGTGTTTTCTTGCCCCTTTCACTATGTCGGCTGCCCTGGCTGCCACTGATCTGGTCAGGGAGGACGAAATTCGTCGCGTCAACAAACTCGGGGACACTATTCGAAACAAGATGTCAGAGATCTGTGCAACACATCACTATTCTGACCTTGAGATCACTGGTCTAGGTAGGAAGCACCATATGACTACAGTTTCTTCATCTCAATAGGAACCTGTTGATGGGGGTTTTATTCTATCACATGTTACAGCATGGGATTTGGATCTGCCGCAGTGGTTTTCCTTTTCTGAATATTTGCCATACGGAGGATCACGCTCATCGTTTTCTAACGGCGTTTCAAGAGTTTATTGAGGAGTTCAATTAAAATACCTTTGCCGCCTTGAAATTGTTACAATGATATGCCAGTTCAAGCATTGCTTCGCAATTGTGCATGCATTTTTCTGCTGGCTCTAAAGTTCCTACAGAAGCCTGACCTCATGATTGTGCCCTTTAAATAGAAGTTTAGACAATATCGGAGGCAAAGGAAGATTTTTGTGTCATCGCAAAAGCACCATGTATGGTTATCAATTAGGTGTGAAGCCTCGCAAACTCTATCAAAATACCACTAGTTTCCTGAGAGCCTATCTTGAACTTCATGCTAATTATGCTATTCTATCCATGATCTTGAGGTCTATTGGGTCTTTAAGTCGTGATGCCAAATCGAAATAAGTAGTAGGAACTCGGGGGTCCGTTGGTTCACCAAGAAATTTCTCACAAAAAGCCTTGCAACTCAGAAAGATGCGCGCCATACCTAAATTACCTTTATTAGCAAAGAAGTCTTTCCAGTTACTGGACTACTGGACCTACCATGTCCGTGATATCCACCGGCCAGATACTGACCAGGCTTGCCTGGAAGTTCCCCCAGAAACGGAAGAAGATCCTTGCTCAGGCCCATGATGCCACTCCAAGAGAATGCCACGGCACCCTCAGAGCTAGTCCCAGAAGATCCCCTGGACTCTTTCCAGTCGCTGAAGATTTCAACTGGTGCATTCAGAATGTAGGACTCGACTTCAGACACGATATGACGGTCATCGCAGTCACCAAAGCCACCTGAGAGGCCCCTAGGATGAGCAACCTCACCACCACCCCAAATCAGGTACTTTTCGGGACCTGGTATTTGGATGAGATAGTCGTAGTTGTCGTTGGATATGAAAGCAAAAGATGTCGTCAAAGGCTGGTCCATATAAGCCGGTGGGGGAGTGATGGCGGAAACATGACCTTTAAGGGGAATAATTCGCCCATCAAGCTCAGGCAGAAGATACGAAGCATAGCCGTTGGTTGCATGGATGACCTTATTTGCCATCACAAACCCTCTGGGTGTTGAGACCTTCCAAGGTCCTGAGGTGTCGGGAGATACACTTGTGACAGGGGTATTGGTGTGAAGACTTAGTCCCAAGTTGAGCCCCTTGCGTAAAACAGCAATTGCGAGCTTATATGGCCACAGGCTGGCAGCCGGGAAAGTGATTGCTCCAGAGCAACCCTTGACCCGTAGAGACTCCTCAGCTTCTGCTCTGCTGAGTACCTTGATATCGGAGACATCGCCGCCAGATTCTTTGAAGCCATTGTACGATGCCAACCCGGTCTTCCAGGACTCTGGGGTCAGGTATACGTCGGCTGAACAATACTGCACCAGATCAACTTCCGCAGCTAGATTATTCTCTTGAATGAATTTCGCGGTTTCTTGATAGTTGACGGCTTCAAATTCGCACTGAGCCCTTGCAACATCAGTATCATGTAAGATAGAGTACGATGTGAAGCCACGATAACAATCGGGCTTTATATGGCCGCCTAAGCAAAGGAAAGGTAAGTACCACACGGAGATAGTTCATTGATCGGTGCGATGCATCTCACTCACCATTCCTCCCAGTAGCACCGCTCGCTGCGTTGCGGGCTTCCAACATGACGACAGACTTTGGCCTGTTGGGTGAGTTGGAACTGAGCAACTGGTGGGCGATGAAAGCACCAGACAACCCGGAGCCGATGATAACAACATCAGCAGAGGACGAAAATTCAGCACTGAAGTTATGATTCCAGTCAGTTCGGTTTTGATAGAAGCACAAATCTTTCCCATCTCCTCACTAGCAAGACCTAGTCCCAAAGAGTGTACAGCTTGTAAGGGCAGGGCTATTCATAGATTACTACTTACGATTGGTAGTTACTGATCATTGGGTCTGGTTCGCTCTGCCAGAAGGATTTAGTCGGACTATTGACTGGCAGAGACGCCAGGTAACCAGTAGGTGACTGCATGAGGCTGGGTTGGTCCGAACTACCCCGGAAATGATCGGTGAATCAAGATGCCGAGAGAAATGGTATTGAGCCCCTGAGACAGTATTATTGTTGAGCAGTTGCGAATGATATTGTACTGTTGTCAATAGATAGTTGTCTTCCATTTGGGTGGCTAACTACAAGGTGGTAACCCCCGACGGCCTATTTATGCGTATCTTGTATCTCAGTTGAAGCTAGGTAGCTATCTAACTTAGGCTATCTGCTAGTGATGGATCCAATGAATGATTACCCCGCGATCAAATACAGCTAAGCCAGGGTTAGTTGATACGATACCTGAAAGATAACTCTATCTGGGGCATGCCGATCTACTGCGATTGGTTAACACTGTTCTTGATCTTGTCGTCTCTAAGTTAGATGATAGATATATAGTTAGTACCTATATTCAATGGCACTTGAAAATTTTGTTCTCTGATCAGAGGGACACACTCCTCCCGAGCCTTTCTCCATTCTATCTTATGTCTCTCTTAACTTTTCTTTATCTTGAATAAATCTCAAACACTTTTAACTTGAATTGAAAGCTGATAACTCAACATGGCATCTATACTTGATAGAGACCCTGATGCCGACAAGAAGATGGAACTCGCAACTCCATCGCTTCAGACTTTTTCAAGATGCGGCTGTTCACGATTTTGGTTATAGCCCCTCATACGCAAGAGTGTTTCGGTCTCTGGGCGCCATGTCACTCACAATGGCAATGCCTCGTAAGTCACTAAATTACCTCTACTTCATACTCGAGATGCTGGTCTCAAGGCCGCGGGAGTTTCCCTGCTGATCATATTCCTAAACACTTCCATCGGTGGCGCGGCCGTTTTGGTCATGATGTCTTGTCAGACAGCTGCCTTTGCACGGGATGGGGGGATGCTCTTCAACGATAAACTCTCTTACGTCTCACCCCGGAGCAATATGCCAATTCGTACAACGATGTTTCTCACGGTTGGCGGCATGTTTATGCTGTGTCTAGGATTTTCTCCTATTGCTTCCGAGACCATCTACTTCCTTGCTGTCATTGCGATCATGGTATTGTACGCACTACCCATGATATTCAGAATCTTCGACAGCGGACGATGGGTTCCGGGCCCGTGGAATATGGGCCGACCTAGCAAACCTGTCCATGTCCTGGGTTTCTTGACGGCCGTATATATGACGATAATGGAATGCTTCCCCCTAGGCAGATTGGACTGGATCGACCCTGAACTATGGCCGTATTCTTGGGTGCCGTTTTACTCTCTGCCCTCCTGTGGTTTTCACATGGCTCCCGTCATTACAAGGGGATTAACCAAATAATGCTGAAGGCTTGGAGATAGCGCGAGCATGACCATGGTTTGAGCCAGGAAGGTTCTGGCGAATCGCGTAGCGAAACGTATATTGAGGGAGTGAAGTCTTAGGTATTTTCATCGTGAAAGATTAGCATCTCGTTTTCTGTCAGTGGACTCTGTTGCCTATTCCGTTACTAGCTATCTAGCTTCCAGTGTATCAATATTTGTAATTACCCCTTCTTTGGCCATTTCAATCATATACCAGCTCTAGGTTGTCTTTCCCACCAAGCTCGAGACAACAACACGAGAATGCCGAATTCAAGCAATGGCTCTCCAGTAAGTTCTTCTGCTTAGGTGCGTCTTGCTGAAGCAGATCGGTCGAAGTTATGGCACGGATGATATGAAAATTTGCTCCACGAGTGCTTGGCAGGCTCTGAGATGTGCATGACGTTGAATACTTTTCAAGGGCAATATGTCTGTGTAGCCATTGCCTTTAGTGCTCGTTGCCATGGGCCCTTTGGGGTTTTTTATGCATCATAGGTCGAGCGAAGTTGTCATCTCCATGAGATACAAAAATATATCTTATCGTCCTTCTTACTCCTTGTATGACTGTCCATTCCGACTAGTGAATATTCTCAAGATACAGCAGCGCCTACATCAGTATCTAGTTGTGTTCATATATATGGTTAAACGACGGTGGAGTTGTTGTCGAACAATATTGATATAATAGGTTTGATCATAAGCCTTAATTTCTTTGAGTGGTAGCGCCATCACAAGAACAAAGTGTATAGGGGAGGTAAGAAAGCCCAAAGAAACACTACAAAGATTACTGACAGTAAATTTATACTAAATTCAGCTATAAGTTTTCTTACTTTTAGAATACACATCCTGAGGTTTTTACTTCCCGATGTCCGACGAGCTCAGGATAGTTCTATAGCTCACCACTCACGAACAGGACTTCCGGAGTCAAGGAGGATTGGCACATGAGTGCTTTAATAGGCTTTCCCGGAATATTGGATGAGAACCAATCCTCTGACGATATTTACTGTCTAATAGGGTGTTGTCTGCAGTCAGCGAGTCTCATTGTACTGGTAGCTTCCGTCACCAGCATAGTTCTTCGGCGTCACTGAAAATTCCGCCCCGAGCTTGATATCCTGGTGCCTTGCCGCATTCCTATATCTGGTAGCCTAGAGCGATGATTTCAGGCACCGCAATTAATACACGCCTCGGCTAGAAGTCATTGAAGTTGTGACCAGACTGGACCAGGTAGGAATCAAGAAATGTCCACGAGCGGCGATTCTATATGCAATGGTAGCTGTAAAGAGGCCAGCTAGGGGAGGAAAGAAAACACAGGATCTTGATCCTATATGACAAAAGGATTTAGGTAACTTAGCATAGATTTAGCATAAGTTTGGCATACCTTTTACTGAATTTCATTTGGTATCCCATATAAAAGCCTGATGTTTTCTTGCGCCCCAAGGGCCATGAAGAAGATCGAGATATACGGAGTAGTTACATTAAAATACAGGCATAGGCAGCTACAAGTGTTTTTAGTTCAATACTCTCCCCCACTCTCCAATTGGAATCGACATGTCGCAATTCTGTAGCTAAAAGCTAAAAGGCTACGGACACTGTTGTAAGTGATGACTAGGCTAGGGGAGGAAATAAAACTCGGAGCCTTGAGCAAACTGACAAAAAGATTTAGGTAACTTAGTAAGAATTTAGGGTAGCTTTTGTGGAGTTTATTTTATCACCTTATACTTAGGTCTGGTGTTTTCTTGCTCCCTAAGGCTAGGATGCTAGCTACCCGGATGAAAGCCTTGAGAGTCAATACACTGCAGCTGTTCAATAGGTACCTCACCTATCAACTCTCTCTCTGACCTATCACTGAATCTAATGCCAACAAACCATTCCTGGGTGAGCAGATCCCACCTGAATGCCCCTTGCAAGCGCAGTTCTCCCACTGTCAAGGGTCCCCAGGCTTCCCTGTCAATTGGCGGTGAGAGGCACCTCAGGTACGTGCTGGCACTGCCAAAATTTACCTGTTGCACATGTACCTCCAGATAGCTCTGGCGGGCCGAGCAATGTTTGTTGACGACCCCGCCACCAATTGGATGTCCCACTGCACCAGCGCACCCACAGATTGGAACTCCAAACACCCACCCCGAAAACCATCACCACCTCAGGCCCCTTCTTCCCCTTCCCCCTTCAAGCGCTGCGCGCGTACAGTATTTCTCTCCCCGTCTTTTTTCTCCCCCGACTTCAATCCTCTCGTCGTAGCTTCTTTAGCTTCATCCAGACAAAATGAAGGGCGAGGTATGTCTACAATTATGCTGCAGCCCGTCTCTCCGCTGCAGTGCATTGCTTCGCTCTGCTCGAGATACCCTTTGTGTGTTCCACTTGGTGTCTGGAGCTGAGCAGCTGGGGCTCCCCCTTATTACCCGTTGAAGCTGCCATCCGACCTCGCGATGCTGATTCTCTGCTATCCAGATTCTTCACCTCCACCTGGGCCAGGCTGGTACCCAGCTCGGTAACTCTGCTTGGGAGCTGTACGTTGTCTCCCTGGATTGTCAAACAACGCCACCCTCACGAAACTGAAGCTGACTGGCATCTGAATAGCTACCTTCTCGAGCACGGTCTCGGCCCCGATGGTCGCCCCGACCCCAATGCTCCCGATATTGGTGACCCTGGCTCTTTCGAGACATTCTTCACTGAGACCAGCAGCGGCAAGCATGTTCCTCGATCTCTCTTCGTCGATCTCGACCCCTCTCCCATTGACGAGATCCGAACTGGCGAATACCGTAACCTTTTCCACCCCGAGTTGTTGATCAGCGGCAAGGAGGATGCCGCCAACAACTATGCTCGTGGTCATTACACCATTGGCAAGGAGATGGTTGACAATGTCATTGACCGCATTCGTCGCGTCGCCGGTGAGCTCTTTCGACGCCTCTGTACTTGTACTCAACGCTAACCGCACAATTCAGACAACTGCCAGTCTCTTCAGGGTTTCCTGATCTTCCACTCCTTCGGTGGTGGTACCGGTTCTGGTTTCGGTGCTCTTCTCCTCGAGCGTCTCTCTACCGAGTACGGCAAGAAGTCTAAGCTCGAGTTCGCCGTCTACCCTGCTCCCCGAACCTCAACTGCCGTCGTTGAGCCTTACAACGCTGTTCTCTCTACTCACAGCACTATCGAGAACTCTGACTGTACCTTCCTCGTCGATAACGAGGCTGTTTACGACATTTGCCGTCGCAACCTCGATATCCCTCGACCCTCGTACGAGCACCTAAACCGCCTCATTGCCCAGGTTGTCAGCTCCATCACATCCTCTCTCCGATTTGACGGTGCTCTCAACGTCGATCTCAACGAGTTCCAGACCAACTTGGTTCCCTACCCTCGAATTCACTACCCTCTCATCAGCTACGCCCCTGTCATCTCCTCTGCCAAGAGTGAGCACGAGAGCTTCAAGGTCCAGGAGCTTACTTTCCAGTGTAAGTACTGCTCATGTTATAGGCGCATCCTCCAAGATACTGACTCCCCACAGGCTTCGAGCCCAACAACCAGATGGTTGTCTGCGATCCCCGAAACGGCAAGTACATGGCTGTTGCTCTTCTGTACCGCGGTGATGTCGTTCCCCGCGACTGCAACGCCGCCATCGCTGCCCTCAAGGCCAAGGCCTCATTCAACTTGGTCGAGTGGTGCCCCACTGGTTTCAAGCTCGGCATCAACTACCAGAAGCCCATGGCTGTCCCCGCCGCTCCTGAGGCTGGAGGCCTTGCCCCCGTCAAGCGATCCGTCTCTATGCTTTCCAACACCACCGCCATCGCTGAGGCTTGGTCCCGGCTCGACTACAAGTTCGACCTCATGCACAGCAAGCGTGCTTTCGTCCACTGGTACGTTGGTGAGGGTATGGAGGAAGGCGAGTTCACCGAGGCCAGAGAGGATCTTGCTGCTCTGGAGAAGGATTATGAGGAGGTTGCTGCCGACTCCTTTGAGCCTGAGGAGGAGCTCGAGTACTAAACGATCGAACAAGGCGAGTTTATGTAATCTCTTTCGACTTCTTTGACGACATGTTTTAAGCGATGGCTCGGACAGGGCTCACGCCCGCGAAGCAATGTACAGAAAAGAGTTGTGGAGGAAGTTGTTTAAGATTCCCGAGATTTTTGAGGTGGCACACATCAGGGGGTAAAGATGTTGGTCACCAAGCGCCAGAGTTTGGCTCAGGGTACCCCGTTAGTACATGGTCTTGAATGTTGGTGCCAGGCCCTGATAGACGAGACTATCCCTCGACGCAAGCTTGGTGCCTTTGTTAGCAGGCACGTAAAATTGATGATATATCCATTTTCATTAAAATAGTTTTGCTCACGGCCTCGTGTAATTTCGTTGATATGAGAACCACTCCTATACCAAAACAACGTTCTGGGCTAGCTCCCACGAAGTCGTGATGTAACCATGATTTGTAGTAAGATTCCATTTTAGAATTCTGAATATTGACACAAAAACTACAAAAGGACGTAGGCATTGAATACATCAGCCAAAATTAGTGCTTTGTATACTGGTGAACTCTGTACAACTCTATGAACTTTTCAACACCCCCCCGATAAGTATACAAGTACCTTTGTCTCTCATATAAGCGGCCAGAACTTGCCAGGGCGGCCAAGGCCGAAAAATCACTGGCAAACTTTCCGGGGCGTGGGGCCCTCTTTTTAACAACACCATCCTCGTCCTCATCACGTATGAAAAGAGCACATATCTCACATGTCAACCACCAGCGATATGAGTGCTATCCGTCATAAAACGCTCAGCTCTTCTTCTTCCACTCGGCAGCTCTCCTTGCGCCTCGGTTTTGGGGCCTGCCAGATCTGCCCTTGCCCTTGCCCTTCTTGCCAAGTTTAAGATCTTTGGGTGTGCCGTCCTTAGATGAAGCACGGCGGCCTTCAAAAACGAACTGTTCGGGTCCTTTGATACTAGACGGAATGTTCTGGGCATCCTCGGAAGAACCCTGTGTTGAGGGTCGCTTCTTGTGGCGTTGCTGCACGGCGGCCGAGCGGCCGAGAAGCTTGCTTGTACGTCCAGCCATGGACTGCTCCTGAGGTGTAGCCTTGTGTCTGTATTTTGTGCTCTTGGCGGCGCCATTAGGAACGATGTTCTTGCCCCTGGCTCGCTCTTGGGCGAGAGCTGTCTTGCGCGGATCCTTGGCTCGAGTGACTCGCAACTTACGCGGTAACATGGGAGGAAATTTCTTGCCATCAAGGAGTAAGGCTGCCTCGACATCGTTGCCATCCTGGAAAATCATGTTAGCAGCTGGTCCGATCGAACTAAGTAAGACAATTGTGGACTTGCATAAAATTGGACATAGGCGAAACCTTTGCCTACACGAGTCTTGGAATCTCGAACTACTCGGACGTTTTCAACCTTGCCCTGAGTGCTAAAAGTTCGCCAAAGACCCTCTTCGACATCGGATGGGATCTTGTTCTTTTTCTTCTCCGTAGTGTCGCCATCCGCGTTGGTGTTCAAGACGGTCTCATCATCAACAAACCCGAGGTTGCCAACAAACACACATCGGCGGTGATCTGTGGGACTGGGGTGGGCGACGTTGTCGACTCTCAGGTGCCTTTCGAGGACCTGGGTACCATTAAGTTCTGCGGCAGCCTTGCGAGCAGCCGCCGAGGTTGAGTACACGACATATGCATTGGCGGACTTGGTCGTTGCATCCATCAGGCTCTTGGTAATGTAAGCTGCTCGCTTAGGGAGAGAGCCGCCTGCGAAAGCCACGGAACGGAAACGCAGTGACTCGATAGTTTGCGGGGGAGTGGCATCTTTATCCAAAATGGATGACAGATGGGCCATGAGGGTCTTCTTGGCGGTCTTGGAATTGATTGCTTCTGTGGACACATTGGCGAGAAAGACTGTTCGCGCTGCCTTCTCAAGGTCTGACGATTTGTTGTCCTTGGCGAGGGTCTCATGGACGGGAATGTCGCTGTCGTTGCCGGCATCATTATCCTCCGCGACAGCCTTTTCGGTCTTATTCAGAGCATCATTCTTTTGTCGCTTGCCGGCGCGCTCAGCTTCCTCCTCCGCAACAAGTTTGTCCAGGTATTTGCCCTCCAGATCGTCGTTCTCGTTTTTTCTCTTTCGTTTCCGTTCCTTGTTTGGCTTGTCTTCTGTCGCATCAATAATGTCGTCGAGCTCTACTGGCGCATCTTTCATGGGCTCTTTTGAAGATTCTTCCTCTTCCTCTTCCCCTTCCTCTTCCCCTTGCTCGTCTTCACTCTCCCCCTCTGGCTCCGAAGCGTCAGACCCTTCCTCTTCCTCATCTGAGGGGCCATCTTCTTCGAAGCTCAGCTCCTCGCTAATCTCAGAGAGGACCTCATCGTCGGCGTCTTGTTCTTCGAGCTGCACCCTTGGCTTGGGGGGTTCCCGAGCCTTTTGTTCCACCAAAGTCGAGTATCTTGACTTGACGGGAGCCTGGACAGGACCAGCCTGCAAATGATAAGTATGGATCTAGTCAAATGGCTAGATGTCGCAAGAAAAACTTACACTGGACGCAAAAAGAGCGTCGAGGGTGGGGTCCACCGCCTTGGAAGAAGCTGTCAGGCTCTTTGAACTGTTTTTTGTTAGATCTTTGTCCGTGAAGGCGTTGAGGATCAGCAGCTTACCGTTTTGCCATTGTGTCAGATTCAGTACTGTTTGTGCTGAATTGGAAAAGTTGCCGACTCTTGTGCACTCTTTTGAACTGCGACGAAAAAGACATGGCCAGAAAAAAGTCCCAGGTCCAGTACGGAATACCCACAATCAGATTGCTCGGGACATGGCTATTGGTTCGATAACCTTAGCCAATCGATAAGCTCTCGTGGCACTGACAGTGAGCATTTCTGCCGTCAAGGGCCGCCTTTTTACGGGCCCCGTCATTCTCTCAGCAGGGCCGCTTCGGCGCTCGCCCCAAGCCTAAGGTAGGTAGAGACGCTCAGGGCAGCCAGCGCAAACCGGGGCCGCACCGCACTCATCTCATTCCCTCTCTCTACTCTCCGTTCACCTCCACCAGCCCATTGTCGAATACAAGTTTCCTGCCTCTTCCTTACCTCAAATTCCTCTTTGGAATCTCTCATGCCGGACAGAGATCGACCCAATCCGTTGTTTCTTAGCTCACATTCACCTTCTCACGCTCCCACTCCAAGATCCTGCGTCCTCGATTGTCTAGCGACCATTCCTCGTCACCCGTCACCACGGGCGCGCTTCCACGACCTTGCGATCGACTAAAGCACTGTTTACAGCCTTACGATACGAGAAAACACAATAGTTCCATTGAGCCATTATAAAGACACGTAATCGCGTCCTTTTGCAGCCATGGCTGCCACTGCTTCCGCACCTCCGCCTCTCTCCTCCCCGGCGCTTGGAGTTGCCGATCATGAGGACAGCAACATCTCCAGCCCCCTCAGTGAGGTCGACACGAAGGACGACAACGACGAAGACATTGAGCATATGAATCTCGATCATGATGACGAAGATAGCGTCAGGCGCAGCCCTCGAAAGAAGCCACCACCTACCTCCGACTCGGACAGCGTTCTCTCTGAGGCCCATTCCGACGTACCCTCGGATGGCAACGTCACAGAAGCTGAAACTGAGCGACTATATGATACACCAAAGCACCAGAGGCAACGAGACGTTGTGGTAGACCAATTTAACGAGGGTCAAGTCTACGAACACACTCCCAGCAAGCTACGCAGGACTGCCAATCTGCACAACGACGACGAGGACGAATCTGCAATAGACGACGACGATGCTTCTACTGGCTCCCCCACCATCGGCGAAGATTCGCCAACAAAACATGCTATTGCGCACAATGCAGGAGAGGACGACGAGCATAAAAATGACGCCCAAGAGCGGAAGCGGAAGCGTTCACCCGCCGCCGATCAATCAGAAACCGAACAGCCGCTTAGAAAACGAGCAAGTTCAGAGCATGCGACTGATGTGAACACCCCTCAGCAGCCCGAAGAGACTATTCTGCAAGAAGACGGGCCCACCCCTGCACATGAAAGCACCGGCACACATACACCTGCTGAAGACACTGATGCTTCTCCCCAAAAGAGATCTACCAACAGAGAGACTGATCTGGCAGAGCGTCTTTCGCGTGCCGTAAAAAAGAATACCCGCGGATCCAAACGAAAAGCAGCTGTAGCTGCAGCTGATCTTGATCCGGACACTGACAGCGGAAGTCATGATGGCGCGCGCGAAAGCGCTAGAGGAACAGACGTAGATCACCACGACGAAGCTGATGCAGATGCTGACGAAGAAGTTGACTCAGCTACTGCACATGATGAAGAGCGTAAGAACAAATTTACTCATGGTCCAGGTCATCTTACTTATCTTATTGCAGTGGAACGAAAACAAGCCGCTTTCAAGGATTGGACTGTTATCGAGGAAATGTTTGGGGTGTTTCGTGACAGGTACGTTATGTCGTGAAATCAAGCATATACCCCCTGATATCTTGTCTAGGCTCTACAAAGACCGACTTGAACGACTGGAAGAGGAAGAACAGTCACTCCTTGCCAGCGAACCGACACATCCCGAGTATCTAAACATGAAGCAGTGTTTGGATGACCGACTAGAACAAAAACTACGCGAAATAAACAATGAACACGAATATCGTCTCAAGGCTCACGAACGACGATCCGTTGCCCAGCGAGCCCAAATATGGGGGCAGTACTACCAAGCGGTTCGTGAGAAGAGAGAAAGGACCCTAGAAGCACTTAACCAAGAGTGGTACGACATCCAAACGGCAAGGCGAAGCGCACACAGCTTGCAGGACTGCGGCTTGCTCTACCCCAAGGATCCCGCACAACGTGTGAGAAATGCGATCGCCTACAACACCGAGGTCTCAGCACTAGCTACGATTGCAAAATACGAAGGATTCCCCGCAGGCCCCGAGATGAGCGGGGCGACACCGTCGGAACTAGAAGACGATATAGCTGCCATTGAGGTACGTTGATAACGCGGGTCAGCTCCCAGAGCACTGAGCTGACTATCGTAAGCGAGCCAAGCGATCACGGCATAAGCCAGTAAACCAACGACGGGAGGAATACTATGCTCAGCCATTTGATCGCCTCGGACCCGCTGGTGAACAATTCCTTCGAGAGACGCCGTGGGCCAATCCAAATCACTTACTTCACAAGATGCACCCTACAGCTGCTCCAACGGAGGCACCGCCAGACGATATGACCAGCCGCGGTGCGCACCAAGCTTCTGTGCCTCCTGGCGCCCAAATCGCGCAGTCTCCTTCACTTTCGGCACGACTATCGGAGTCTCCAGAATTGACAAGAACGTTACTTAGCCCGGCTCACCAAGCCAAACGGGTCGGCAACAATCTGCCCGGCGTCAACCGCGGTACAAAAGCAGCAGCTACATAGACGTTGAGTGTGTAGGATTTGTGGTTGAACATGTCCTTCGGATAGGACTGAATTGGCAAAACTATGGGGCATCTTGCTTTTGTACTCGGATTTTGTGATACCCAGGGGAAGTGATCGGTTTAGACCGCCGCGGACGGGCTGTCTTTTTCTTTTTATTTGGACTTGAGCGTTATTAGAATATTGCCTTGGTCTGCGGCGGCTAGTATATATCTGTCTACTGCCATCAGTCGAGCGAAAAGCATCTACTTTGTAGGTAGTGGATAGCCGGTTGTTTGACTGTCACTGTACAAAGGTCTTCATATACTTGTACACACCCTGCACAGAACAGCTGGCAAACCTGTTATACATGAAAGGATGGGGAGTTTTATGGGCGGTTTGCTCTGTGTGTCTTATGAATAGCAACGCTGCCTTTTGCCCTCTTATTCAGCTTGCACCCGTGTCGAAATTCCAGCGCTTAATCGTACATGTGGCCGAGCCACTTGGGTGAACTGTCTACTTGGATGCAGATGGCTTCGCGGGCGCATCTGGGACCTTGACATCTTCGAAATTGTCTTGACCAACGGCGTTAAGCGTATACCAATCTAGCACACGTTAGCAGAGGATGACAATCACACAAGAGCTCTCTCTCTCTGTGCGTACAGATGCTTCCAACGACAGCCAAGAGACCAAGGCCTGTCACGGCATTTTTGACAAGATAGGGCCGTCGTGCTCGTACAAGCGCAGGGCCCTGTCGCAGACGGCGATCGTAGTATGTTGAGTGCGGGCTGTTTCGGAGTCATGATCAGCCCACTTCAGTGACTCTTATTCAATAAACAAACCTGGTAGGCATTTTGGATTGTCGAGTTGTCAATTCTTATAAGATTTATCCTGAGCCCGGTCAAAACGCAATTGAAGAGGGCCAATTGCTCAAATGCTGCGAGATATGGGTCTATCTCGAATGTGCTTCGAGTGAATGTCGGTGCGCCTTTGTAGTACTGAGGTAGGTAAGAAGAATATTTGCGGCTAAACATCGGCCGGACGGGGTATGACCGTGACGTCTATTGATTGAACTTTCCTTACCTTAGTTCCAGGTTCTTTGTGGAGCTTGCTTGCTTGCAAGGGTCTGTTTCCATTTCCACGTTCCATATTCTTTGCTTTCGCGTCGCCATTTCAAAGATTCAGGTCTGGAATATACCAACCCTGACAGCGACAACGACAACAACAACAACAGCGACAGCGCAGGACGAATCCCGGACGCGTATGACGACGCTACGGCACGCGCGACTTCCGATCCTTTGATGAAGCTGAGCGGTTGATGCAAAGCATGCACAGCTACAAAGCTTTATAGCCTAGTCGCGCGACCACGGTTCAAGAGCCGTATCGAAACCTTTATCTACGAAAACCACTTCATCGCACAATTACGCGCAGCTTGTAATTTTATCATCCGCCAACACCTACCGCCGCGACCGAGGATCTGACCAATAAATTATGGCAGCGAATCTTTCCGTGTCGGACCAGATCCGACAGCTTGATGATGCACGAAAGTTGGTTTTGGGAGATGTTAAATATTACCCCAGTGTTGTGAAGGGAATACTACCTATCATCGGACCAAGTGCAGCGCTCGAGCTGCGAAGATGGGGCGCCGAATTTCTAGCTGAAGCTTTTTCGACGCCCGCTCTACCAAATGGAGAAAAGGAGACAATGCAACCTTATGTTTTACCAACATTGGAGTCTATGCTCGAGAATGAGCGTGAAGATCCTCAAGTTCTGCGCAGTGTGATCCAATGCGTTGCCAGTATCTATCCCTTGGCGATGAGATGGATGTATGATGAGACTCTCCTGCGAGATGCAAGATTTAGCTAATGTGACTACATAGCATCAACAACGGATACGACACAATCACTTGGGAAAGAATGGTAGCTGTGAAACAAAAGGTTCTAAAGATATGGGACAATGCTAGCCCTACCGTGAGGATCTGTTGCATCAAGTTTGCGCAACGTGTAGTTCTGGCACAGACAGCAGCGACGGGTTCTGAGCTACGAGTATGAGTCGGTGATCTGTTTAAATGGGATGTCGCTAACATATTGAAACAGTATGGTGGTACTCTAGATGTCTCGCTAGATAAAGTCCCCCCAAATCATCAGTCACTTGATCCTCGGAACTTGGAGGCTGAAGCGTCCGGACTCCTGGACCGAATGTTGGCAACTCTGCAGGAGAGCAGGTAAGAGGATCGCTTTTGACTGTAATGCCCGTGTAACTAACTCTACGCGAAACTGCAGCGATGCTCTGCTCGTAGACTCAACGTTGAACTGCATGTCTATCCTCGTGAGGACACGACCAGGAACCTCGAACAGGATCATCAATGCTCTTCTCAACTTTAATCCCCTCAAGCTCGCCAACTCTCCTCTAACCCCCAAGACCCGCGTTATGATTAGATCTATGGAGAAAACAACTCGAATGTTGCTGATCCATCTTATGAAGCGAGATCCCAACAATCCAATGGCCCATAGGATACATCAGCACGTAGAACGCATGATGGAGATTATGGCGGAATTTTTTGACGATTCTGGACGGAAACGCCCCCTCGAGTCAGCACCACAAGACGCCAATGACGCCAAGCGACAGCGATTATCCCCAGCACAAATTCAAATACCACCGTTGGGCCCTGGCCCCCACAGCCTAGCAGACGTTTTCACTCTCATCGACAATACTGCTCTAAAGAATTTCGACATCTCGCAAGTTCCCGCTCCTTTAGTCGCCAGGATCGCTGTCACCACGCTGTCGAGACTTGACCCTCAAGTATTATCTAAAGCGGTCGATGGCATTCGCGGCCGTCTCGACGCCCTAGCCAATACTCCAGCTCCTGAGTTAAATCCCAACACCGCCCCGTTGGGCGTAGACGAAGACGATGATGACTATGAGCCTGATTTCTACCAGGCAGAGGACACAGAACAGATTCTTAACAAGCTAGATAGTTCACCCATGCATGATGCACCGGTATTGGACGATGGCCTTACACTGAAATCATTCCACCTTCATCAGCCTAGTGCTCTAACACCAGAAACGGCACTGACAGCAGGCAACGGAACAGTTACCCGGGTAATTGAGATGATGAAGTCACTAGAAGACCCGGCCAAGAAGAGCAAGGCTGGCTTCAGCAGATTAGCAGCTAGTTCTGGTAATCGGGATTCTTGGATGACAATACTGGCACGACTAGCAACACGCTCTGTGGCCGGTCTCGAGGAAACCTCTATCAAAGAGGAGGGTGGCTCGTCAGCACCCCAGTCTCTCAGCAACAATATTCGCGACGTTTTATATTCCTATGTGATGGAGGACTTCCGAAAGCATATTGATGTGGCGGTCTCATGGCTCTGTGAAGAGTGGTACAACGACAAACTACAACAGAAAAAGGGCGGCGATCGACCATTGTACTACGAAAAGTGTTGCTTGCGTTTGATTGATGGATTTCTGCCATATCTGCACCCTCAGGACAAAGTGTTGACGCGATTCTTGAGTGAAATACCCGAGCTAAACAAGAACCTCCTGTCGCGCGTGAAGCACATGTGTCGCGACCCCAGCGTTGTTCAGCTAGCTTTGACAAGCCTTCTATACTTGGTCATGATGCGGCCACCTGTCAAAGAGATCGCACTGGATACGGTGCAAGATATCTGGACCGAATGTAAGTCGAATTGGAGCCTTGTTTCAGGGTAATTGCTGACCCGTCACCAGTTGAAGAATCAAGACCTATGGCAGGCAAGTATTTGACCAAATATCGGCCAACTTTCATGGAGTCTGCACGAAATGCTGGTGATCCTGGACAGTCTGCATCGCCTGCTATCACCGCTTGAAGCGGGCTGCTAGTTTCATCACCGAAGTCATAATGGATCGATTAATGGAAAGTGCAACGCTACGCGATTACTACTTTATCCGGTTGTATCAAAGGATTTATTAAATCGTCAAGATGATGGATGTATGGAGTCGCTCTAGCCACAAGACACGGAGGAATGGCTTGACGTTACTTTTCAGGCACACTAGCTGCAGAAACAGAGGGCCTGGAGTGGACAACTGTCTCAGGATGACAGAAAACTAAATCACGAAATGAGGCATTCAACGGCGTTCAAGGGTAGACACAGGATTTAAATACCAGTCGAGGATGGGGAGGACGGCATTGTCTGTCTAGGTTGACTGTTGTAAAGCTGTAAAACAATTCATCAGACGCGCATCTATCATTACCCATAGCCAAGCATGGTTTTAGGAGGAAGAAAGGATAGACTTGGCTTGACACAATATTACTATGTCTTAGGTTGGCAAGACATAGTAATATTGTGTCAAGTATCATTTTGAGCATAGACCCAGAACCGCCGTGTTAATAAAGTGACAACGAACTCCGAGATCCTTGCACTTGAAGATGGACCTTTGGCCCTTAGAAAAACGGCTAGATATGGGCGTCATTGCTGAGCCGGGGGAAGAAGTGTAAACACTGGATTGCGTGTTTTGTGCTATGATGGAGGTTAATGTTGCTGTGCCATCAGGAGAACATGGTTGTTGGGGTATAGTACGTACTATAATAGTCATGGTCTTTAATTGGAGGCCCGTGACGTTGGTATTCTCTAAAATATTCCTTCGGGTGTGCCTGATAGATCGCTTTTTGTTTTGTTTATTACCTCTCTCACGATACTGATCGACACTGAGGCTCCTTTACAGTTCGACCGGCGCATGCCAATATTTACCTTTTCCGTCCCTCCAACCATTTGGATTTCAACGGCAGATAACTTGCCTACCTAGGTAGGTACTCCGTACTGTAACGGCACAAACGGGGACCAGACGGGAGCCAGCGGGAGCCAACACTATCACGAGGTACGTACCTTACTGATGAAGATCAGAAACCCCCAGCAAGTATTCCCTTGAGAATAAAAACAAAGAAAGGGACCCTTGTCGCCCGTTATTATTAGTGTGGGTTAATTTATGTCTGTGTTCACATTGCTTATGCAGCTATTTGTTCTTAACATTACAGTAAGAGGTTTGCCTCATTTTCTCCTCTGCTTTCTTTCTTTCTTTCTTGTTTCACACTGCCTTATATTTGTTCTGTTGCCTTGCTGCTGATGAGTTACTCCTTTTTATTTGCAGCTTTGACCAACCAACCAACGCTCCAATACAAAAGGATCACACTGCTTTAAACACACGAACTAACGTCAATTCATCACAGTCGTTGCAATGCGAAATCGTCTTCTTAAAAAGGACTTCCCTATTCACAAAGACACAGTCAACGGTATGTCCAACACTTGAGCTGTGAGATTGGTCTTGTCTATTCTTTGTTAGATATCCTCACATTACGTGCTGCTGTCTCTGCACTTTTCAACAACTAACTTAGTACTACCTACCACCCGTCCGTCAATGCCTCGTTATCCACTTGAAACAGCTCCCCACACCTTCAACTGGGGCGCAACTGTACAATTGTCGTCCCGTCCCATCCAGTCTCCTGCTCGTCTCGTCAGTTCTGTCTGGCTTGATTTGACCTGACGTGACTGGGCTCCTCACGTCAGCCTTGTTCTTTTCCACACTAGCGACTTTTCTATTTCGTTTTCTAATCTTCACTGCCTTACCACTTCAATGAAGCAGCTAATAGCTAACACCAGCCTATCCTTGTTCAGCCGCCGCCACAGTCGCAAGTAAATCCACCGAACCACATGCTACTCCTTTGGACGAGGAAAAGACCTTGACTCCCGCCTCCACCGGCGCCATCAACAGCATGAAAGCCCGGAGCCCTGCCTCCTATAAACCGGCCGTCGCCAGGTCCAGCACAATCAGAAGCGTCCGGAGCTTTGAGGGCTCCGAGTCTAGCCCCGAAAGCAAATACAGCAATTTCTCCAGTAGCATGAACAGTACCACAAGCGCCCTGTCCAACTCCAACTCCGATTCCAACTTCCACAACCAGACACATCTCAAATCCAAGACCGAACACGACACACATACAGCGACACCCTCGCGCTGGAGCACTGGTGCTGCGCGCGTGGTTGAGCCTACTCCAGATCCAGATAATTCCGCCATGTCAGAAAACGTTGAAGCGCCAGACAGTCAATGGGACTCGACAATAGGCAAAGCCGGTCTGGGAAAGACCGGTCGCGTGATAAACAAACTTGTAAGCGACAACGAAGCTCTGAAGCGCGACATAAAGATTGAGCGCCTCAAAGCAGACGAGGCCAAGCAAGCGGCCAAGCTGGTTGAGGACAAGCTTGAGCGTATGGTCAACGATTATGAGAGCCGACTACTCGAAGCCAATGTTACTAAGACACTGCTGGCTCGAAAAGAACGCCAGGTGGAGACCTTGCAAACAACCGTCGAACTCGAGAAGAAGAAGGCTATAGATGCTCTTCAACGCGAAAAGAGCTGGAGGGAGGAGATGGATAAGACGAGGAAAGATGCAACGACCCAAGTCGAAGAAGCAACTAGCTATGCGCAGTTGATGGAGGGTCGCTATAATGCCATCTCGTCCCACTGGCAAGACCAAGGAGAAGAAGTCAAACGAGCCGTCTCCAAGATGAAATCCGAGATCGACCAACTGAATGAGGAGCGACGAGCAGACGACGACAAAATACAAACACTTAGAGATCTGTGCGACCAGCAAGATAGCAACATCAAGCAACTTCGACACGAAAAAGAAGAGATTGCGCGTATGTTTGAGGAATACAAACAGAGCCAAGAACAAGGCCTCAAAGATATCAAGACCAACGCCAGAAAGCGAGAAGATGAGCAAGAAGCTTTGCTAGAAGCTTCTAGGGAAACTCTCAACAAGCTGAGATGGGCGCTGAACGTGAAAGAAAACGTCAAAGGCGCGCAATAAAAATAGCTAATCTTGTTGCGCTGCCACCCATCAAACATGTTGTGTCCGCAACTCACTTATTTGACAAACTACATTTCCCTGCATGTGCGATTTGATCGATTCACTTACCTCTTTTCGACAAGTCGACTCGCTGGGCCCAGTTTCTTTCCCGAAGCTTGAAACAGCTTCTTGACTTTACGTCTACGAATACTTGATGACCATCGCCCCCTCGATACCACTCCTTGTATACTCTGCTCTTCTGCTCTCTAGACACATTACATGGCCTGGAAATTTACACTGGATTTGAACTTGTCGCTGTAACCCGTCTCGGTTACTTACATAACACTGGGAAAGGACGTGCCGAGGTGTTTTAGGTGTTTGGGGTTCTTTTTGTGTTGTGCTGAGGCTTGATGCCTCACAATCGAGAGATAGTGATATATTTGGGTATAGATATTGTCATACCAGGTAAAACAACCTGTGGGCAGGGAAAAGAAAACAAACCGGCATATCAATTGGGTTATCTATAGAGTGCCTACACCTGAGTTAGTCATGAGACAATCCCACGTACTTGAATATTTTATTGATCGAAGTTTGCGGTGCATCAAGCTAGGGCGGTGCTGTAAGATCACAACTTCATACTTCCTCATTTTCAATATGTAACTGCCTTACTTGACAACCGCCTTTAACCCATCTCTAAAAACGAATGCAGAGATGTTAGAGCACACATCTATATACCTTAGCCAGCTTCCTTGTTAATGCTCATGAATTGCAGGCATTAGGTATTCTTCCCATTCGCGGGGCACATCACCTTCACGATGCAGTGCTTGCACTTCAGTGTCAGTCATTCCACTTTCTGCCTCTCGCCACCCGGCAAGGAGGGATGCATTTCATGGCAGTGAATCACGGAGGGTTGTTCTTTTCGGCGAGGTAAAAGAAAGACAGTGACACTGCTGGCACCTGCCTTTGCTAATGGAAGCTGCTGCTTGCCGCTTAGGTAGCGGGAGACTGCAGTGGTGGCAGCTTCCTTCTTTTATTCCTGTTTGTTCAGGCAGCCACCTAGGTAGGTACCTACATGAAGCAAATCTCCTGATCTCCAAGTTTCTCTCTTCTTCTTCTTCTTCCACCTACCTCCCTTCCAGTTTTTCACCTTGGCATGGTCTTTCGTATCAACCTTCCTCCCTCTCTGCCTTTCTTTCATAAGTCGGTCCATGCCACTGCGTCTTTAAGACCGACGACTTTCTCCCCTTTACACGTGCTCTATCACTAAGGTGTCCTGTTGTTTGGGTATTTAAACCAAGATACCCTCTGTTCTGTGCCGGTTGGCTAATGTGTCAGTGCTACCATCTACGTTTCCTCAATTCTCGACCACACCTTGCTATGTGAGTAGACCTATGAGCACAGATACAAAAACCGGTTATTCACCAGTCATCCAGCGCCTTCATGTCACAGCCATGGATATTGTAGAGTTCTACGTATCTTGTAACCCTCCATTACTCCCTAAAGGAGTGGCGCTGATATTTGCGAGTGTCGAGGAAAATGATGACCTTGTAAGTATGGAAAGTCTCTCCAAGACTTCTACTAACACATTATTTCTTTTGCTCTTGCCACTAGGGAATCATTGAAATCCTCTACGAACCTGAGATCCCTTGGTTTAAGCTCATTGTCCCAAGGGCTTCTCAGCGCGAAATCTCCGATTGGATGCACTCTCAACTGGCAGAGCTAATGGAATCAGAAGCCGACACTGTTATACGAGACGAAGACGAAGATGATCTCGGTACATCTGCCAATCAACCTGATATCGAGGTTATAGTCGAGGACCCACACATTATTGCCTATTCTTCTCTCCAAACAATCCTGAAAGATACACTCAGTCAATATGATGCGTTCCGATATCCCGCCATTATCAAAACTCTGCCTTACAAAACAGTCTGGCGAGTTCCAGAATCATCCGGAGTCACTATTCTGCAGATTCTCTCGAATTACGAGTCCTTGGGATTTGTGTTGCCTTCGGGCCCAAGCATTGGCAGCCTTCAAACACTTACAAAATGTGTTATTACATATAATTTCCAGGGTTCCTTATTGTACATCGGCAGCAGTGAAAGTGAACAAGCACTGGGCTTTGCAAAACAAAAACTTTACACTCTAGCAAGCTTCATGGTATTTCTTGCGATCAATTTGTGTTCTTCCTCTAATCGAGCTTAGGATGCCCCCTTGGCCCCTATCACTCATATGGTCTTTACTGAAACTTCGAGCTCGGCTACACTCTGTTACCGATTCATGACACATACGGGACTATCCAAATTGACCTATGTTGATTCCACCGGCACCGATCAGAGCCAGGACCTGGAGTACACCTCGATCGCCAGTGCGGTGTCCTTGAGAATGGAATCTCTCAATCGATACCGGCAGCCTGTGCCCGATTGCGTCAAGTACCCAATTCCGGAGACCGGTAACTTGACAAAATGGCATCCAGAATTTCACCCATTCTCTGGATATTCATATGGAAACAAACGCTCTGGTACCATCCCTATTATCGAGAAGAAAAGACCCCAACAGAAGATCCATCATCAAGAATCGGATAGTGTCGGCAAGAACACAGCCAGCACTAACGGACACCGCAATCTCAAGCATGTCGGCACAGACTTACCACAAGTTCGAAAGTGCTTAGAAGATTACAGGTACCAAGCTCGAAATAACAAGAAAATCACTAATTGGCTCTGCAGCATCGAGTCCAGCGGAGATGGTGACCATCTGAAGCCACCCTCACTTCTGACTGGGGACAGTGAAAAGCAGGAGGAGGGAACAGCAACAAGCCCGCCATGCGACTCCCGACGATGTATTGAAGAGCCAAGGTTCGTCAACACTAAAGACGTCCCTCTTATGGCGGCCAAGATCAAAGATCAGATGCCAGGATCAGGTTACCATGCTTCTTTGAGCCAACTTCCATTGGGCTTGGAAATGCCAGAAAACAGTTTCGAGCCCCTCGACTTCCCGAATTCTTCTGGTCTGCAGTCTAATGCTACAAGGGATTTGATGGACATTAATGATGGCCCCATCCCAACTCCGGCACTGATGGATAACATCCCTTTGCACGATCGCGGAAATAAACTTCAGACTATATCAGAGGATCAAGTTATTCGTTCTGAGGTCACATTCGGCAAAAAAAACCTTCAGGAGAAAACACTATTCGATACCATGAGACAAAAAGCTGCCTCTGGGCTAAGCTGGGCCAGCGTAGCCTCAAAGAAGAAAGACGAAAAACGAGACGACAAGCCGACCTTCGGGTTGAATGTGCCTGTCACATTTGTCCCTGACAATCGTTCTGCAACTCAGCGTTCAGCAACGCCAGCATCCGGGGTTATTGCCAGCCCCGACCCTTTCCGGGCTGAGCAGAGAGAAGAGCACGACAGAGACCAGTCTATTTTGGTTGAGAAACCCAAGACTGATCCAGTCTCACCGGCCTTACGAATTGTTCCGGGAATAGACATGCCATCAGCGATTGAGGTGGATTATAGCGAGTTTCTGTCACAGGCTGAGAACAAGCTCCGTAAGTTGGTTGAAGTTCTGCAAATAGTCCCCGGGAAAGTGAGCATCCAAGCTCAATTTGGGCGGCTGTGCAGAAAAGATATATTTCCCAGTTTTGTCTATGACAGTCAATCTCAATCTCCATCGTGGGCTGTTGATGAAACTGTTGAGGCTCTAAATTCTCAAAATCCGCACATGGGATTTTATCCCATCCTCACAACCAGCGGAGCAGAAGCAAACTCGATCCCTCGGATGTCTGGTGGAAGATCTCCATGGATACTGACGGGAAAACGAGTTTACTACGAATTTCACTGCTTCGCCGGAAAGACATCTGAGGTTATCGTGCAAGTTGATGCCGATACCTTCGAGCATCAATACTTCCCCCCGACGATTGAAGTCTCAAAGACTTTCGTGCATTGCACTCGGCGTGCATGGGATATCAAATTTTCTGTCTCCCGCATGTATATGGAGGGGATGGCCGATGATATGGAAGAGTTTGCTGCATCATTGGTGCGCTCCCTGAGTATCGAGTGAGTCACCTAGCCTACTCATTTGGTATGGTGTCAAACTAATTTCTTAGAACGAATGAGATGGGCGAGCTCGTAATCAGTACCGAACCGAAGAGCATCTCGAATTTGAGCGTCGACAGGGTCAGAATATGTCACGAAGCCTGGTACCAAGATGGACGGAAGGGCCCTAGCTGTCTGAAGGTTACAATGATACGACGAGTCGAGAAGCTTCCTGGTATCCCCAGAGGAACGTATCGTGGTCAGTCAGTTCCAGTAACAGCGCCTGCAAATGGCCGGCCTGGCCAGTGGTTTGAGACAAGCATTTCATCCGTACGAGCAGAAGAGATATTCCAAGAGAACATCGGTCTAGAGTTCGGGGATAAAACACATTGGACGCCTGAAATCCTACACCACCAGGGCGTTTTCAGAGCCATCTCTGAGCCAGCATTGCAAATGGTCAGAAAGATGGACCATGTCGGTGATTCGAACTCCAACGGACAAGGCCCTCGCTCTGATCAACAGTCGTACAGTGCTGCTCAGGATTCAAAGGCCCGGCAGAAAGGGACATACTTTTGGTAAACCACTGCAGGACGATGTTTGATTCAGTATGCAGAAATGGAAGGCATGGAAGACATGGATTGAGGTACGAAGTGTGACGGAGACGAAATGGATAGATATCGGAGTTACTGAGCGCCTTGTGTCAAAACTTTGAGCTATGATAAGATCGCGATCGCAATTTACATGATTCTGTACCTCAATTACGTCACGGCTGCATCCCTAGCCGAAAGAATCTTAGCAAGTGATGCCAGCGTCTAAATACGTAACCGGCCAACACGATTACATACTAAGACGATTCTACCATTTAGCTACATAGGTAGGTAGATCATGGCATTTCATGTTGATTAAATCACCAAAGCTGACAAGCGCCTCATAATAAAAGCATCAACTAAGACGGGCCTAGAACTTACGATTCGATGTTCATATAAACTTTCAGTAAGAAATCTCCATGGGTAAGACCATGTGCGACACCAAAAAAGCAATATGTGATTCCTGGGCCTGCCCGCTCGGCTCGGGCCGCGATTCCGATCTATATACATGAGGGATATCGTGATTTTTCAGCTGGAAATCTCTAATGTCGAACTGTTGGTTTCATGTAGATAAAAGCCAAATTACTTAAGCTCTCAACTCTTGAGCCTAGGGTAGGTCGCTTCTTTCATTGTGCGTATGGATACGAATAGTATCGGTAGTATGAGCATAAACTTTTACTATCTTGATATACTAGAATGAACTTACTCGATTGTGAGCTTGAATGACTGATGTCTGAAACCCTTGACCCATTTGGAGATGTTCCTGGGAATTAGACAACCAGCATGATTGGAGCCGTCATTGACTGCTATCGAGTGCGGACCTCTCGATGACTATACACCCTCCTCTTCATACAGGTCAACAACTCCCCATGACTGTATCATGACCACTGTCTTACGCGATCCAGCCCGGTACGGATTCGGACTTCGTTACGAGAACCGAGCTAGTAGTGCGAGAGCAGGTATTAGGAAGAAAAAGAATGACTTGAGACTTACGTCATAATGGTAAATGCCCCTGTTGACGCCGTTTGCATCGTTGCAATGGGTTGCTGACCCATGAGCATGGACGTATGACACTATCTTCTTCGCCATGATCGATGGTATCTATAGCAGAAAGCCTCTCTTCTTAGAGCCAAGTTTGTTGGGTTGCGGATATATGCACTAGTGGGCTGCTCAAGCATGCAAGATATCAGCGTTGAGAGGCTCATTGAATGTCGTGGGCTCTCAAAGCTGAATGGCGCCGCCATGAGCAAAACCAGACCATCTTAGAAAGTCAGCCGGACGATATGTGCGATATGTGGTGAGGTTGTTAAAATCAAACACATGACGATGGTGGATGGTTTGTTTCGCTTCGATTAAATACTAAATCCTTCCCAACTCTTCCTTGAATGTGGTCAACACAATTCCCATGAACCTCTCTATAGTCTTCCTGTATGGACTTTCATAATCAATTCGATCAGACCATGGAGAGATTCGCTCGACTCCTAGCGTCCAAGTAATCATGCTATGCTTCGTTTCGCAGCCGTATCACCAAAATCTATCACCCAGCCCCGCTCCCATGGCTGTAATCATAAGGGAAGGTATGTCAACATATTGCCTCGTTTCGTCTAATCGTCCAATTGATAGACCAAGCGAGCGATATTCCAGCACCAGTTCGCCGTTGATTCTATCTTTTTCATGTCGCGTAGCCAGTCTAAATATACTGTAACAGTTTGGGAGGCTTCCACATCGAAGCGTTGCCCGCAAAGCGACGACCGTATCCGACTTAACATGGGATGCTGCTGCGATAAATATAACAGAATTAGAACACCCAGCAGATTTTGTGACCAGAAGAAAGAAATCGGCACAAGTCGTTTGTTGGTACATGGGGGTGATAAGGCAATGGGCCACTTAACCGAGGCTTTGAGACACTCGGCCGCACCTTCAGCATCTTCTCGAGTCATGCTCTCAGGGTGATGCAGAGCCTTGAAAACGCAGGGCCTGTGTATGAGGTGTTTGTTGTAGCTGTATCGTGTTCGAAGAAGTGCGGTTTGTATGTCGGCTGCGAACGGATACGTGGCTGGTGGAGTGTCAAGATCCGGCGTGAACATGTAATTGCTCTGGAGAGATTCTTCAGTATATACGTCACCAAAGGCATTATGTGAAGGCTCCGCGAAGGCTACATCCTGGTTATCCTGCCACCTTAAATGGCTGGGTAGCATGCCCCTCCAATGGTCTAGCTGTGCGTCGAGTTGTTTCATAACAGCTGCGGTCCCGGGACTTGAAGAGATATCGAAAGGAGCGAACCCCGCAAGGGGCAGAGAAGCATCTTTGCCAAAGGCTTGAAGGAGTTTGTTAGTGTGCGGTTACTAAGACTGCTAGTGCATCGTTCTTGTGACGTACTCTTGTTGAGAACAGAATGGAAATTCGCCGAGAGCCTTCGGAGCACGATTTGAGAGGCGAAATGCTCATGAAAGTGTGTTTGTTGATTGACGATATAGTCCTCGTCAGTCATCGGTCCACTAAAGTCAGGGAGGCCAATCGTTTCCTCCAGCTTTTCTAGCCCAGTCAGGGGTAGTCCAAACTCCATGTGGAAGCACCTGCACTTGTTGTTAATATGCCTTCTCGTGTTGTTATCAATAACCTACGTTTCCATGATCGAGCAGTGCCAGAAGACTCGTTTGACCAGATCTGTTCGGGGGCCGTGTAACTCGTCGGGTTTGCTATCAACACAATATTAGAACCAGACTGCGTTGACTCATAACGGTTGGGCCTCCCACCTCGTGATCAGACCCTGGCAGGCCAAAGACGCATACACATTCATCCTCCAGCATTCCTGGCAGATCAGTTAGAAAGGCGTATTGAGGGTCTAGGCAGAGGTACTGACTAGAGCTTGTCCGCAGCTTGAGTAGTAGAGCGAGGCAAGTGCCAACATCTGTACGTTTTCGAGGCTGACTTCGCTTATACCAAACCCCATCCTTTTCCGTGCTTCATTGAAATAAGCAAGGCCAGGTGGCCGATCGATAGTACCTCCCTTGATTCCAGATGGTCGCTGCTTGTAAGCCGAGATTGGCACTTCTGATGTGGTGAGCGCCACCTCTCCAAGGGCAAAGACAAGTAGTACAAGGGATGAAAGTGCTCCTTCTTGAAATCCATTATTGATGATTGAACTCAGTACGTTCGAGTTGAACCACTGTCTGTCCAAGATAGGATGAAGCATGTTGATGACGTCGAAATAAGCCTTGCTAAGTCTTTGCATGGTCTCCCAGTCCACACTTGGGGGGCTAAGGTTGAGAGTCGAGGTAGAGCCTGAGAGATGCAAGGGTATCTGCAGGGTGCTGTTACTTGGAATTCCGACCGGCTGCAGTCCATCGGATGGCAGGGTAACGTTTGAGGCGCGAAGTCCTCTCGGAAGTGCAGGAATCTCACCCATGGCGGATGGAGCCTTCTGGCCAAGGCTTTCGAACATCTGGCGCACAACGGGCCATTCTGACATCTGAGACACAGACGAGTCATAGCGAAAGCCGCCTGTGTCACGGCTCGGCGATGGACTTGTAGGATTGTTAGGTAAGGATGTGCCTGGAAGAGGATCGTGGGAGTCGGGATCCACCAGTAACGGCGTGTTGGTGGAATAAACGGCTGGAGGTTGAGAGGTGGTGAAGAGGGGAGGAGTCGTATTTTCCCTTTGACCCAGGTTGTCAAGCTTACTTTCGACAGTCTTTAGTCGGTCTAGAATCTCAACCAGAGTCTTATCCTTCCTGTTGTTGAAGTTTAGCAAATTGCAGTTGTGTTAAGAGAGCGGCCCAGGGAACGACGACAGCAACGCCATATTCAGGTCAAGCTCTACATCCTCGCCGCTTATTCAGGCTCCCGTAGTAACATACTTTGTTGGTTGGGGTTCTCGGTATCGGCAGTCGAGCTTGAATCTCTGGCATGTGCCGCACTTTGGTCTTTGTTCATCACATCTTTGTTTTCGGTTGCGGCACGTCTCACAAGCCTGGGTCTTGTTAGTCACTTGGTTCGGCAGTGCAACACTAGAATTGACAGCAGGGATTGAAGAGAAAAGTAAGAGACATGACAATAACACAGATATCCAAAGCAACTGAAAGCTACGAATGGAATCCGAGATTGATATTGACAGAAAACAAACATCGAAATGAAGGGCGAAAGAGGTGAAGGAACGACAGGCAAAGGCATTAGACCCCTGACTCAATGGCACGGTATTTAAGCCCGACATACCTGTGCTGCAATGGCACCGCGTTCTTTTCGATTGCTTTGCGGCCCAGGTCCTGGAGAGACGTTGCTGGATGAGGATAGTCCTGGATCCATAACTAGGAGTGGCCGTATACCCCCATATGACTTTGAGGAAGCAGTGTTTGGGAAACAGCAGCTCTAAAAAGCTGGCTAAAGTAAACTGAGTTCCCAGGTGTAATCGGTAGGCTCCATTGAGTAAAACGCCCCCAAAGATGAGAGTTGGTAGAGCGTTGAGGTATCAGTGGCAGTCTGTAATCGGGAAGCGAACAATGTCGCGACGATTTCGTGAGCTACCTGGGCTGGCGTGGGTTCCCACGGGAATAAAACAATGAGGGGCAGGACAATCAGAATGCACACACAAGGGAACTGACGTGGGTGACGGTGAGGGAAGACTGGGGATTAAATTGGGTACGTGATGACGGTTCCTGAGATGTAGTGACGAAGTCCAGATCAAGATGTGCCTTAATCCAGAGTGCAGGGGAATAGGGACTTTAATAACGACGGGGAAGCTAGAGGAGAGGCCGCCTTGTAATTGGAATTTGAGAAGGCATATCTTTAAGAGAGAGTTTTTGAGAGCGCACGAGAGGAGCTAGGACGCGGAAAAGATTCTCAAAATGGGACTGGCAGGATGTGAACAGAACTCGACCGGAGCCAAGCCCGGCTCCGACAAGAGACGAGGGGAACAGATACAAGACCTTGACTTGAGTGAAGTCGATGCTCGTCAGGTTTCGGTGCTAGAAGCAGTTGGAAATCCGTCAGTGCGGCCAAAAAGCGCCTATTTGAACAGCCATTGGGTGGTGTGAGGTAAGAAAAAAGGGAGGGTATCAAGATAATCCAACGTCCTGTCCCGTCTCGCCATCTTTACATGAGGAGCCTAACTAGCACGCACCACGCGGCTGATGCACGGTACCATTCACTCTTCGAGGCCGTACCGAACCGTTAATTGCACCACACCGTCCAAGCTCAGTAGCCCACCATGGATGGATGAACGAAGCTTCAGCCGCCCGATGAGGTTCCCTTCTTGTCGACCCTGTGTCTGCATCCATGCCGGCGGACGTCATTGCTGGATCTCTTAACGGGCCGGGGGATCGAGCTCCTCTCTCCGGCGTTGGTTCCCTCATGACAGCTTTCCAGATCCAGAGCCCACACACACCCGATCGATGCGTGCGCGCACACACCAGACCTCTAAATCGACCAAACCTGCGGCGAACAGCGTTAGAAGCCCTGGTTTTCTAAATGCACGCTCCCATTTGTTTGGCGCCACGCCGCCGTCGCCACTGCTGCTACTGGGAGAACATGATCGTCCATAATCTGCACCGACCGTCCGGAGCTGGGAACTAAGCGACCACTCTCCTGGGAGACCTTTTGCGTGGAGTAGTGCTTGGACATGGGCCTCATCCCTTCAGCAGTTGCGTTTACTGTCATGACTGGTTGAGCCGGCTTGTGATCGGCCATCATCTTTCCAGCCCTGTTTAGCGTACCCTATGCGACAAAAGAAAGGAGGTACCGTACATTTCGCGGCAAACTGATATCTTATTCTTCACAGCCATGTGCGTGTCTTGTGCCTGGCCTGGCCTGGCTTGGCTATGACGCCCGAATAAAGGGTCCATTAAGGCGTCATTTTGTGTCGCGTTAAGCCGATGAATGCATACCTTAATTTTCCCTGCTAGGTACCCATGAGACTGCAACAACCCTTAGCCGGATCTCAACACCCTCGCGATAAGAATGATCCATGTGACGAACGCCGTAGCAAAACCTTGGCTGCCCTTGGGATATGGCAATGTGCCACAATCCCATTCATTGGAGCTTGGGCATTCGTTGATGGCAATTCGTCAAAGAGCCATTCCGAATTAGCATCTGGCATATATGGGCATTCCCCAAGTCCGATGCTGTGTTGTGGAGGGGCCGTAGGGGCTGTGATAGGTTATGGAAATAGCCTTTGTGGCTTGCCCTAAATGCGAGCTTTCCAACTCGGTATCAAAAGCTGGCCGTGGCCGTCTTGTCACAATGAAACTGTTTCATCCATCACGAATATCGAAGGCCTTCGGAGTAGGTCCTTCTCTAGGCACTTATGCCGGCGCAATAAGGCTGAGCCCCTGCAGTGTCCTGAGTTGGCTATGATCGACAGGCTCTTGCCTGCTGAAATGACAAAAGCAAAGATTCGTAAGATCCGTCTTGTCATTAAACGTGATCAGAGCCGCAATATGCAGGGGATCGGAACCCAAAGCCAACGCTGAACCAACCATGATGTTGTAAAGAGGGCTTGATATCAATTATTGACCTCTCCTCAGCTGAGCAAGCAGACAAGGTATTACATATGAGCAAACATCTACCTAGTTTTGGCTGGTCATTCGTCCGATTCAAGGTGGCAGCGAAATGTTGCAACTTTGTCGTATCGTAGCCCAGCGTCTAGCATGAGCGGCCAATGAACAAAGTGATCATTCAATTGCACCGTTCATTGTTGGCACACACATATGTAATCAAATTGATGTCCCTGCCCTTGAGGCAGAGCTTTGCACACTGTTGAACTGAAACGAATTATGATGGATTTACCTGCAAGCACCCTTACTTGCATCCTCGCAAACTGTCAAGTTGTCTCTGCCTGGAGGAGAAAAAAGACCAATGTGTTATTTTTGCCGCGTTGCTTTGATCTATCTCGCTCAGATATTGATATGGCTTACCATGAATGAATATTAAGAAGTCACCACTCTACAACAGGACGAAGCAATCCATAGTTGATTTTTATAAATTAAAGCTCTGGTGACAACGTTGAGGTGATACTGAAAGAGGGTGTGGAGTTAAAACAAGTACATCGATCAACTCAGCTTCAATATTCCTCGAGTCAATCTGGTAAGTGTGCTCCTTATGAAGTAAATCATGATTAAAGCAGGTACGGAGACGGCGAGACATTTTGCTACCACGCGTAGCTGTTCTGTTTCGCATCCGAGATTCTGTAGGCGAGTAAAATGCTGTCGAGCTCGATTCTTATCGGAGAGGTCGAGACATGGCTGAAGAAGTCTCCGAATAAACGACGGATCTCAAGATTCAGCAAGGGATGATGGCTGTCTGTGGGCTGCCCGAGACAAGGGTGATGCCACCCATGCAATGCAAGTCTAGTGATCCCCGCAACGGCGGAGCTAGTCTTGAGCCTGGCAGAGATGGCTGCTGTGGTGTTTGGCTACTGATCAACCAAGAGCGAAAATGATAGGATGAAGAGCAATCCAAGTCACCAAGTATACGAGATCATCATCATTCGTCATTATGCTGAAGCGGGTCCTTGTAAAGTCTTGGCTTGAGGTGAGGATCCCTTTGACGCTGGCGGGTTGAAAAGAGAACAAGTCAGAAGTCGTATTCAGGCTGAAAGGTGTAAAAGAACCGTGAGGAAACCTATGATCGATCCAATGAGGTATCTTGGGTGTCTTGGTCGTACCTGCCAGACCCACAGGAGAAAAAGAATTTATAACGGGCAATTAGCATTTAGCTGGCCATTGCACTCCCAGGGCTGCCACCCAGGTAAGCAGCTCGGGAGTTGTTCTGTAAGAGCCTTCTAAGAAATGAACGCAATACGAAGAAGTTACATAGCATGAACCGGCAAATCACTACTTCCCTGTAAGGTAGGTAAGGTAGTTTATACTTTGAAATGGTCCCATTGATTGTGGCACTGATTTGGAAACTTGGCTCAACCTACGTGTTTTCAAGGACCCTTTGATTTGAACAGAGGAGACTCTTTGACCCATTACCCGTAGCTCACCTGTTTCATTGGACAAGAGCTGAAGGCCCCAAAGGGACACCCACAGCACAAGGTTCCATCCAACTGGGGTGATATTGACGTGCAGAAGCAAGAGATCAGCCTGATCATCGTTCACTATTTCCACAAGCTCACAGTGCTCTGATACTGTGTTTGTGCTGACCTTTCGGACGAGCACAATTGCCTTTCTGAATTGCAGGTAGCAGATGGATTGTCTAAAGAAGGTGCAACGTGATCAGAATCTTATACTTTGCCAAGAAACTGCTTCTCATCGGCAGTTGAAGCTGCTTTCACTGTTGTGGTGCAGACCATACCTGGGTAGAACCTAGGTACCCAGGTGTGATGAGCTCCACAAACCAAACTTTGAGCTCACTGTACCCCAGTAATTCAATCACGGCAATTGGAGAAACAAGCGGAACCCTCGGTCCATCTCCACCCCCATATTTACACGAATGCGTCCACTTCTGGTTGCTCGTGCTGATAGTCTCCAAATATGTCGACGACTTGACGATACTGTTTTGGAAGAAGCCGATCCAGTCAAACCCGTCGATTTGTCTCCGAGGAAATTAATTTCCCACTGGGCGTTTTTGTCCGTACGAAGCTTCTCGTCGCCCTTTCACGACTGCATCGCGAGTGTTCGTGACCTCCACCAGAACCAGAGGGTGGGTGCTGTTGCCGCTCCACTGTGCTGTCCCTCAGCTAAGCTCACGCCCCTGATCGGTACTCCATCTCTTCAAGATGCCTCTGGGGATCCTCGAAGCAAAGGGGATCGAGCATGTTCCTGGTGCGTATTTGGCGTCACCTCCATACCAATATGGAGCACGTGGCCTTCCATCGCCGATAGCAGAACACACACTTTTCAGGACATGACGAACTGACAGATCGCGCAATCCCATAGGCACAACCCAGTACTTTGACGATCCGTCTCGACCTCAGATAGCTGGCGAGCATCATGGAAACCTCAAGCGCGTACAAGTTGGGACCGAAACCATTATCCTCGTATGTATTGTCTACCTCGGGGCTTGTTGCGCGTACGCTGACGTTGGCACGAACCTCAGATCCCTCAGCCTTCTGATGACCCAAACGATCCGTTGAACTGGTCACTTTTGCGACGCGACCTGATTACCTTTCTGCTCTGTTTCGCGGGTATTCTCGCTACCGCACTCGGTCCTATCCTCGCTGCCAATACGATCACAATATCTCTACTCTTCTCGAAGGATTTCACAAAGGTTGCCCTATTGACTGGATATTTCTTACTGGGATGCGGCGCTGGTGCTATTTTCTTCGTTCCGTCCGGCCGTATCTGGGGAAAGCGACACTTGTTCCTCATAGGTATCCTCATTCTTATCGCCTCCAGCGCGTGGGCTGGGTCTGTAGGAACCAATTATGGAAGTTTTATTGGAGCCAGAATTGTTCAAGGCGTTGGTTGCGCACCCTACGAGAGCTTGCTCAATGCAGCTGTGGGTGACCTCTACTTTGTCCACCAGCGAGGAGTGAGAATGGCCTTTACGAACCTGGCGGTCTTCGGTGGTGCCTTCTTCACACCCATCTTGGTGGGCAAAATCACTGATTCCATGGGATGGAAGTGGACGTTCTACTTTGTTGCCATCTTTCTTGCTGCTACACTCCCAGCCATTTTCTTCTTCTGCCCCGAGACGGCATATCGACGAGAAGCCAGTCTGAACACCGACACGACCGGTGAGTTAGGAATAGAATTGACTACTAAGGATAAACGTCAAACGCCGTCACCGCAGGCAGAGTCCGGATCTTCTCATTCTCCGGAACTTGCCCAGCACTCTGCTGGTTTCACCTTCTTGCCCAAGTCCAATGCTCTTCAACCAATCGGCCATTCTAATACACCTAAGAAGACCTTTCTTCAGTCGATCTCTCTCTTTGATGGCCGGAAGACGGACGAGCGATATTGGGTCCTTTTGCTGCGACCGTTCCCCCTCCTCACTCATCCAGCATTTATCTGGGGCTGCCTGATCCAGGGAGCCATGATCGGCTGGACAGTATTTATCGGAGTCATTGTCGCCGCCATTTTCATAGGGTCTCCCTATTACTGGGATGAGGTTGATGCCGGCTACACTTACACGGGCCCTTTCATCGGTGCCGTCCTAGGGTTTGTCCTGGCAGGTCTGCTCGCTGACACAAGCGTCAAGTACATGACCAAGCTCAACAAAGGCATATACGAACCAGAGTTTCGCATTCTTCTTGTGATCCCTATGATGATCATTGGAGGGATCGGACTCTATGGGTTCGCCTTAACGGCACCTGGTGTGGTAAAAAAGGAATACTCATATGTCATACCTTTGATGTTTTTCGGATTTGAAGTCGCAGGGATGGTCATTGGTGCTGTGGCCAGCTCACTTTACATTGTTGATGCCTATCGTATGTTTCTCTGCTCGTATAAACGGCTGTCGCTAACATCATGGCAGGGGATTTGACCATTGAGGGCTTCACCATCATGATCATATTCAAGAACTTTTTCAGTTTCATCTTGACTTTCTTTGCCTACGATTGGATCAATCAGGGTGGTATCGAACGAACAATGCTGGCGATCTCCTCAATTCAAGTGGTGGTGTGCCTTATCAGCATCCCTATGTGTAAGTCGGTCTCCATCGCACGTTGGTTGTCATGCTGACTTGCTATAGATATCTACGGTAAGCGGGTGCGAGCATTCTACTACCGCCATGATCTGCTTGATATGACTGGCCTTCGCTAGCTGTTCAAACAATTTCGAGGAATTAAGATGGTTGATATATCATGAGTTGGATAAAAGCAACAGATGCGTTTCTAGAGTACCCAGGTTGGGTTATTTTTAATGTTTATTCCTGTTAGGACTTCATAGGGGAGCATGACACGATTCTTGGATATCATTATTAGATCATAGCCATGAGAGTTCGGCGATATTGTCTTAAATAAAGCATTGGCACGTCAATTCGTTACATAATGGCTATTCTGGTATCTGAAAGTGAAAAAACCATAACATCGCATGGGTCATGCATATCCTGACCAAGAACATTTACTTTCCCACTACCTGTCGATTCATATTCACGCCTTGACTGCTCCGGCCTGGGATGCGCCAGCAGCTGCAAGCGTCGACTTCTTGACAAGACGCAGACCGCCGAGCAGAATAAAGGCAGCCTGGACACCCAAAATGACAACGAGAGTAACGAGGGCGCCAATGACGCCAGCAACCGGCTTCGAGACACCGTTGCCAGAGCCGCCAGAGCTTGATTGGGATGAAGTAGAGTCATCATCCGAGCTACTAGCACAGGTGCCATCGTTGTTTCCGCAAAGCTTGCACCAGTGCTTGGTGTCCTCAATGGCGAAATCAGACATGCCAGTCTTGAAGTCCTTCCAAGAGATAGTGGTCTCATCCTTACCGAAGAGAGGGAACAACTTCGGGGTGTGTTGAGCAGCAGTGCCGTTGGCAAAGTAGAAGCGGACACTGACGTCGTCGGCAGTAGGGTTTGTGGCGTTGGTTACGAGCTCAAAGGCCATAGATGAGGCGTAGTCGACGACTCCCTTGAAGTCCGAACTGACCTTGTCGAGACCAGCAAGACCGAAGAAAGACATGAAGGCGGCATAGGCACCGAACTGGATGTTGACCTTGGGTCCCTTCTTACCCTCTGCAAGGGGCTCAAGAGCCTCAATGATCTGGCCAGCAAGCACCGAGCCAGCAATGGCACGGACAGGTTCGCTGCTGTTGTAGGCGAGGTTCCACTCATGGATGGAAGCGAGCTCATAGAGCTTTTCCAGGGTGGACTCATCGAGCAGATCATCAGAAGGAATGCTAGAATTGTGAATACGAGCGACATTGATGAGATCAAAGACTTTGCGAGTTAGTAGGGAGTCTATGTGCTTCAGATTGATCCCTGAACTTACTGGTATAGGCATTCTGGAAGTTGGCCTCATCCTTGCCGTAGGTCCCATTGATGACAGGCAGAAGGCCCTGATAAAAGCTTTCAGAGTCCTTGTATACTCCAGCGTACTCGGGGGAGGAGAAGTAATCATTCGAGCTAGCCTCCGCGTTGGTGCAACCACTGTTGCCCTGGAGCCAAGCACTGTTCTCAGAGTTCTTGTCGCTGGCTGCAGTCTCTACTGAAGCAATGGGAATGTATTGATATCCACTCAAAGGAGCCTCAACCTTGGATCCATTGGCAAGGGTCTCAAACTGCTTAGTAGGAGGGTAAAGCCCCTGCAAGAATACAAGAGCAGAGTTCTGAAGCACAGCATCGACGGGAGAAGTGACATCTAGCTGAGACAAGACGGCTGACTCGGGGCTGAGACCAGTGATCTTTCGTGAAGCATCCTTGCTCACATAAGTATCGCGGTACCAAGAACCGGAGGAGTAAACCTCGTCGGCTCCGAGAGCTGTGAAGTTTACGGGCTTCCAGGCCTTGGCAGTGCGATCGCCGTGACGGTGGAAGACGTAAAGGCCAAGGACATCTTCAGCAGCAGTCAAGGAGGGGAGGGAAGATAGCAAGAGGAGGGAGAGGGGCTTGGCGTGCATCTTGGTTGTGTGGGACGTTGAATGAAGCTATACACACTTACTCGTTGCCACTGTTGACGACAAAGGGGAAAGGAAGAGAGGAGGGGGAGTCAAGAGAGAACGAGGTGAGAAGGAAATATATAGTTCTCATCATTACGTATTACAAAAAGATAACGTACGTTGTTATGAGAGTCAAAAGATATGGTATCGCAGGTAATTCCCCGCCCTGTTCGGCTCTGAGCGTGCCGTGTAGCTGCAAGGTTATGCATAGTTCCCACACAATGGATCTCTCCGGGTCAAGGTTGATTCTCTAGTTGATCCTCTGGGCCCTCTTATTTCTGGATAGTCATACCTAGATAGGAAACTCTCTTGACACCAAAATCATGATGATTTTGCAGACTGAGCTTATTTTTCTCGAATGCTTTTTGCTAAGAGCGTCGAGGTTACAGACAACGAGAGATTGAGATGGCTATATCCGAGGAATTGATGATTGTCAGTGGATGTAGATCATATCACCCTGCCTCATCTGTCAATTGCACGATTAGCCCGTGTCATTCAGCATCGAAAAGCTCATGAGAGCTCAAAAACAACCCCTCCTTCATAACTTGCCCTAGCGGACGCTAATGCAAGCCCACACCAAGTTATCAACCTGTCTCTGTAATCTGATAAACAGTCCTCGGGGAGCAAGAAAACATTAGATTTTAATATAGGGTATTAAAATAAATTCAGTAAAAGGCATCCTAAACTTGTACTAAATTTACCTAAGTCTTTTTATCATTTAGGATCGAGTTTTAAGCTTTCTTTCCTCCCCTAGATAGCCACAATTGGCTTTCCCTTTCCTTACAGAGTAAGATTCCAGGCACTTTTGCCCCAAGAGTGGGAGAGACTTGCAACGGCCATCGGAGGCAATTTTATTGGATATCGGCCGGGTCGCGGCTCTGACGGGGTCGATCATGCCGTACTATATCCGGCTCTTCGTTCATGGATCGAATCGTGAAATGGCATGTGGTATCTCGCGTGGGTTTCGGGCTCTTTTTCGGAATGGAGAACAACGCTCCTAACAATTCAAGTCGTTCAACTCAATTCAAGTCAGACCCCCTGACTTGCAAGTCAGGAAAAATTGCCACAAAACTCAAGTCTACAAAGGTCCTGACTTGCAAGTCCGCAAGTCTATATAGTAATATTAGTAATATATAAATACCTCTCATTTTTATCAATTTTAAGGCCCCCTTAGGGTAGGTTTCTTTATCTTATCTTTATCTTATCTTAGCTTATCTCTATCTTATCTTAGCTTATTAATTAGTAAAAAAAAGCTCCCTGCAGGGCCTAGCTAACCCAATTAGGTAACGCTAAAATCTCGCAAGTCAGTCAATTCAATTCAATTCTGATTGGCTAACTTGGCTGCAACTCAAGCCTAACCCCCCCCCAATTCAAGCCAATCAAAAAGCCGGCTTGAATTGAGTTGTTGGGAGCGTTGATGGAGAATATGGGGTTCACGGGGTATTCCCTTGTCAAGTAACTGTGCTGTATAGAATAAGCATATAGTGTGCCATGCAGGTAGATCAAAAGGGTCGAACCTGGCAATTCTGGTGTCAAGAATGAGACATTTTATCGTGCTTGGGGTGCAGTTATTCTTGTCAGATATTCAGCAAAACATCACCATAGAGACTGAGATCGACTCCATTAGACCGTCCACTTCCGGAGATGTCAACGCCAGGCGGATCCCCAATCGGATGTTATCTATCATCCCAGAACAAGTATCTCCGTCACTTCCGATCCACTGCTCCTCGGGGGAGCTCAGGTCCAGCTGATAAGATAAACTGATTTAAGCAAACACTTGATCTAATACTGCAAAATTGTAGCTTCGTTTTTATATAAAAATAATAATCCCCTCATGATACGTTGAATGGTAATATCCGAGCTTGACCCATGGGGTTTAACAGCCCGTATCTTACAACTTAGCCTTTCCGTTCTTTCTTGGATCTCGCAGGTTCTTTGAGAACTCTCCGTTGAGAATATAATCCGGGTACTCCATGCCAGCCTCCGTTCCCACGCTGATGGCTCCCTGGCGTCTCCATGCCGCACCATCAACAGCTAGGACTTGTCCGCTGACATAGCTTCCGGCGTCGCTGAACAAGAAGACTGTCGCGTCAGCGATATCCCGTACAGTTCCAGCGCGGCCCAGCGGGATACCCTTGGCGTATCTCTTCTTCTCACTTTCCGCATCGCTCCCCAATCTGGCCAGACCCTCAGTGCCATCGATACCTCCTGGGGCAATTACGTTACTTGTCACCCCCCTTGGTCCATACTCCAGGGCAACGGACGCCATGAGTGAGTCAATAGATGCCTTGGCTGCAGAGACGTGTGCCTGGAGAGGCATGCCGGTGTAGTGGAAAGTGGCAGAGACGTAGATGATCCGAGGGGTTGAGCTCTTTAGGAGATGGGGCATAGTCGCCTTGATTGTGTTGAATGTTCCCAAGACATCGATGTCCATTACCGCCTTGAATGCATTGGAGCTGAGGCCTTCAATAGGAGCGACAAAGTTGCCAGCTGCACCAGCGCTATGATATGAATTAGTATATTATATGCGGACATGGTCAATTTGGAGACTTACATGACAAAGTCGATCCCTCCAAGCTCTTTTACGCATCGCTCAGCAGCAGCCTGAAGACTGTCGATCTACGTACAGTCAGTATCAGCATTACCGCCGCAAAAAAAAAAAAAACGACACACGTCGTACCTTTCGAACATCACAGCCACCGATTCCTATCACCTTGGCTCCCTCTCTGACACTCGCGATGTCTTTGGCGGCAAGCTCTGTCTTCTCGACACTTCGACCAATGATGCATGCATTTGCACCCAGGCGAACTAATGCTCGCGTCTGCATGCTGCAGATGCTTCCTGCACCGCCAGTCACAAAGATAACGCGACCATCTAGACGGTTTCAAATGTTAGCAAATCTCTACCAAGAATAGATTAGATCATCTTGAGACTGACTGAAGATCCCATCTCGCCAGACGGGGCTGAGATACTCAGACTCGGGAACGGGCATAGTGATTCGATTGATGTCGATACGCGGCTCAAGGGAACTTCAGGTGACGCAAATACTAACCCACTAGCAGTTTCTAGTAAAATGATGTCGAAGAGAGTCTATTGTATGATTATTGTAAGCTGGAGAATTGATTAAATGGATGGATGACTGACCGAGCGCTCGGTTGAAATCAAAGAAGGTTCAGGGGCCGCTTGTGCCTCGGCTTGAAGTGGAGCCTATCAAAAAACAACCCCATTGAGATGGAATCTGGGGCTGTTCTCCACTAGCTTAGTAAATCCTCCGACCGCTCTCTCGGCCGAGTTGAGCAATCATCTAAAGGCCCGGGCCATTGACCACATGGCATGGAAAAGATGGCCATTATATTAGCGGATTCACTCTCTGCATGAATTAACAGGCCGCTCAGTGTTGTCATCTATTCAAAATATCTACAAAAGGTATGGCAGTACCTCGGTTCTGGATTCACGGTGGTCAAGGGACGTCATCATACTAGGTGGCATGAAACTTAGCACGTGAAGTCGGATGAAGACCTTTTGTTTCAAAGGGAAACAGACCGAATCCAACATTCCAGTCTCATGGTTTTGTCAACGTCTGGCAGGATACGCAGGCAGCTCGTGTTGTCTGTAAAGGACATGGTGTTAGGGGCTGTAGAAGAGGCATCATAGACGCTTCTGTTCCATTGTGCATGTAAAATGTCGTAAATGAGGAAACTGGTAAGACGGCTCACAAGTTCTCCGTACAGTGCTATGTACTTGGCTCCTCGTAATTTAAGCTTCATGCCTAGTTCCCGCGGACTGCAGTGCCACCCACAAAACGAACAGAGACAGGTTTGTGCGTGCATGGCCCACACACCATGCTCCCTAATCACTCTTGGTTTTCCGAGAATCAGGAGAATTTGTAACGAGATTGTCCTGGCCGTGATAAAAGCTCAAAAGCCTCAAGAGCGGAAGCTATTAGTGTGGTTTGTAGCTATCCGAAGGACGTCCCAATCCACAGTCGACCCATAACGCCTCGCAAACCAATGTCAAAGTGGAATAGTCAGGGGGCCAACTGAAACATCCACTGATAGCGAACATCTAAGGCATATACGCGTAAGCAGTTTTCACCCGGGCCTGCGTAAACCTACCGACTTGTTCTTCTTTAAACACCTAGATCTAAGCATCAAAACGTCCTAATAGCCATGGTTTCGTCTCAGGTCTAAGCGCGGGCAGTGAGCCGACACTTGGTCGAACCAACAGGGATGAACGTGGCAGATCTCGCTTATTCTCAGCTGCATCATACATACAGGCCCTGTTGTCTCTCTTCTCCTCAATCCCAGGTCATTGGCCATAATATTCCGCCTCATCAGACTGTCAAACGGTTACCGGTACATCCCGCGCGGCATGCGCCTCAAAGGCTCACACAGGCGCGCTTATTCCCCCTCATTCCCCGCAGCATTAACTTTATATCCGGCCAAACTCCATATTAACTCTGATCTTTGCCCTTTACTTGCACATTGTCTCTTATCTCAGCCGTATGTTGACCAAGATCAGTGGGGTCAAGGGACTCGATTGCCGTAAGCGAGCTGTCAGAGCCTAAAGAAGATGGTGGGATGGCAGCCTACGTCTCACTAGCATACCAAGGTAGAATAGCGCGTTCCGTCACCCGTCGTGACGGTCCTGATGTCAACGGCAATGTAACCACGCAGTGAAGACACCGACGACATCCCTGCTTATTTGGCGATAATCGGAGTGTTGCATCTTCCGAATCTGCGAGGTAAGCCATGCCTGGTAAGGTATGTCAGCCACAATATATGCTAACGGCAGCCTGCAGAACCAGCTGACAACAGTTGCTCTATAGTACCTATGACCGGAGTCCTTCATCTTTCATGCGCTAAATATGAACCGATATAAGCCTTAGAGTGGTAAAATATGTAGCAATATACTTTCCATGTCAATCATGATACCGTTCAACCGCCTGGGTTCCGATCGCTCAGAGTCAATAGCTAAGAAGCTGAGGCTGCGTCTGCCACACATATAAATTTGCTTTCAGTGACCATAGATTTCTTTTTAATTATTTCCATAACGCCAATTTAGTGTATAATTCCCGTGTACCAGTACAAACGAGCCTCTAGGGGTCTAGCTCGATGTTCAACTTTCAAATCTGTCGCTGGCTAATGTTTTTGGTTCTCTTGCCTCTGTCGTTTTCCCTAAATGCTGCCGATAAAAATCGCATGTTGCTTCCCTTTCCTCATCAACAGCATCTCTACTGCTTGTTCTTCTCGTTCAAACCCCTATGGGAGGCTCAAGATCCTGCGCTTGTACTCTCGAATTCGTTGCTCTGCTTCGATTGAAAGGAAAGAAACATCAGCTTGGTGCCTTGAATTCAATAAGCCTCAAGCCAGGCTGTCATTTTTGCAATTCCATATCAATGGAGAATATGAAATTCGTTGGCCATGGTGCGTACAGCAAGGTTGTTTCTCCAGTGTTCTTCCTGAGAGTCTCGAGTCTGACATCAACCGCAGTTTTTGGTTTCACCCACAACACAATGGGCAGCTTTCAGGCAGAACGATATAGCGTTCATGAGGACCTTTAGGACAGGCATGCTCGCGACTTCCATCTATAGAAGTTTTGCAGAAATGTGTTCCAGGATCTGTGCAAGAAGTGTAGATGTAATAGTTTTTGGTGAAATCGCACATGCTGGCAAGGCGTCGGAAACAGAATGGTCTGAGTAAAGGGATTAACTCGAATCTCGAGAACATACTTTACCATCGTACTTACTCGATATTCTATTTGATGAAAAAAATGTAAGTTGATCTTGTCTGCCAGGGGACGAACTGTGTCGATTCAAAGAGCCAGCTGGAGGGGCTTTAACAAAGTCCAATGCTACCACCACTAGCATTTATAAAAGCCTGCGGCGTGACAATTTACAGTGTTCGACCGATGGTAACAGATCGGATGCACAGATAAGGTAGGCGAAGTGGCGGCGTCTATAATAGGCCTTGAATTTTGTGCGTGGAGGTGATGGCTGTAGTGGTGGGCTCCTAAGGTTTAAGCAAGGCGAAACGTCGATCCACTGATCTAAAAGAATGTTAAGTAGAGGCACGAAGTAGGCCAGAAGAGGATGGTATCTCAAACGTAATATGAGGGCGATCTTATGGTGGTTATAGATGGGACCGGGACAAACATCAAGGATCCCCTGGACACGGCGCCGATGAGGCCATGACCATGGCAATCCCCGTTTCTGTCTCGGAAGCCTTTGCTTCAGCAGGACGAGGATCCGAAAGCAAACAAGCTAGAGACATTTTACCTAGTCCAGGGTCTGATCTGTCGTGTCGAATTCAAGCCAGGTCCAGGTCTGTGACGGCGAGTGGAGTGAGTCTCTAAGTTAGTTAGCTAGTGGGGTAACTAAGCCCGCGTGTCCAACGGTCCCAAACCTCGAACGACGGGATGCATTAGTGAGCCCCCAGCAGGTAAAGTAGTGCTCACAGACCAGTTTACATTGCAATGTACATAGGCCGGTACGAGGAGCCGACGTACCCCGATCGGGGAGAAAGCAACCCAGGACCGTTCAAGATATCCTTGGTCAAAAAAGGCGACCATCCAAGGTGAAGCGGCGTCAGTGCTGCTCGAGCCAGGCCTTGGGAGGGGGGCAAATTTTCTGAGGATGGTTGCAAGTTTGAAGTTTAGACAGAAGGCGATTCAGCACACGCCTGGGCACGCACCCATCACTGGAACCTTGTGTTAGTTGGACCCTTGTAAATTGCGACTGCGATTGGGCAATCCGTAAGTAATGCCACTAAACGAGCGTTGTTCTACCTCTTGATTTCGCTACCGATCCTGAAGGGGCCAGATCTGCTTGGTACCTGAAGCATTTCACGATTAATATTCAGCCTCACTGCTGCAGGATAAGACATAGCTCAGAGCCTTAGACGAGGATCTATGATCGGTCCGCCATAGGTACACTAAATACCCAGGTGTGCCTGGAGTAATCCACGAATGCCTTCCTGTCGATGGGTGGCATCTCATGGGCATCAACAATGAGCGTTCATCTGGTTAAACTTTGTCAAGTGGATGAGAGAAAATCCCTTCCCGCATCCTGAAGGGTTGCGATGTCACCTTCTCCCTAATTCCCATTCAGCGGCGTCAGCGCCACGGGGCAACCCTGATGTGTTGGTTCGGTGCGTTCGTGACGTAGACAGCCATGTATCAGTGTAAGTCGGATGTCAGTGAAACGTTGAGGTCGCAACGAATAACTGACTCGGCTCATATTCATGAATGAATGATACGGAACTTTCGTTCCAAAGTGTAACCGACCGTCTCATCCATTGAATCGCGCATCAGATGGAAGCTCGTCTCTGGGCACTAATACGGTAGCAGGATTTTATGGTATGCTAATGGCAAATTGCAGGGCTTGCATGGTGACAATCGAGGGATGAGAATGAGTGAGAAGGGTGGAGCAGAGGTTGCGTTCCTTCTTCCTGGAGCGTTTCGTTATCAGCACGTTTCAAATTTTCGTCTCATTGTGCGATCGATTAGAGCTGCAACAGGTAAGGTACTGTACCTTAGTACCTGATTCATCCGTACCTAAGGTTACCTAGGGCGGATAGTGCCTTTCATAACCTAAGGTATGGAGGTAACTGCCTGTCTTTGAGCACCTTAGATCTGTGCACGGTTGATGGTACGCGGGAAGAGCCACAGCCACCTGGGGCAGGGCTAGTTGCAGTAGCCTCCCTAAACTTCCTACACTTACATCCATGGCTTCATCTCAATTAAGTAACATCAGTATTATTTATGCAACCTTTGAGCATAGAAAGGCAGCATGGCCCATCCATGTCTTGTTGCTCTCGGAATCTTTAAGGAAAGAGATAGGAAGCATGGCAATGATGTAATCGAATCTTGTGCCCCATCTCCACTGCGCAATTTTACAGTTACAATGGAAACAAACTAACATTCAGCTGTGTTATCCATCTGAAGACTTTTCTTTTTTCTTTTTAGCAGATCTTTGCATTACAATCAGGGCGA